AGGAAGGAAGGAAGGAAGGAAGGAAGGAAGGAAGGAAGGAAGGAAGGAAGGAAGGAAGGAAGGAAGGAAGGAATTTCTAGAACATTCTTTTCACACTAAGATCTCTGGTGGAAAACTTTTCTATTTGCAGCAAAGCCCTGCCTATTGAAGTCAATTCTGGATACAAAAAGAAATACATACATATAGAAAAACCCACTGATTTACATCAATATGAACACTGTGAAGTGAGCTGGATTTACTGTTTGATCACTGGCATTTCTCTGAAGTTTTTATAAGGGTAGCAAAGTCATAATTCAACATGAGAACTGTTTATTGTGCTATAATAATTGCTTATATAATGCATAATGACAGACAGACCTCAGAGCCAAACATTTCACATTCGTTGGCATCTATGAGGGAAAAACCTGATTATGGATATTAACACTTGAATAAATGAAATATTTCTTCTAAAACATAAGCCATCCCTCCCATTCGGTTTGAGCTTGAAATTACTGTTGGCTTTGTTAGAATTAGAAGTACCTGTATAAGATGTCTGTCCAAAAATCAGTGTTCCTTCTACAGGAATATAGCCCTTCCCACTGGGGCAAATTTCAATATATTCCACTGCCAAAAAAATTGACAAAGAAGAATTATAATTAAATGAAACTCAGAAGAAGGGAAAAATATAAGAAGCATATTACTGTAGCATATAACTGAGATACCACTGATCATGATAACTCTAAGATCAGTGGTGCTGCTTAGTGTAACCTTGACTTTCCTGGTAAATAAGAGCCAAGGGAACATTTGTGAGGTGCTGAGAGGAATATTGTAGGCATTGTGCTGTCCAGCCAGTGTATGGGAATTGGATAGTTAGTTAGCAATTGTGAGCTGTCCCCTTAAGGGAATGCATCATGGTAAATGTAGTTAAGGTATCCTGGGAAATATAGTCCATGTCACATGACATCTGTAATCCTGATTGGTCACTAAATTGACCCTCGATGGGTTGGGGGAGGTTTTCTCACTTTTGACTGAACACACAGACTCATGATAACTGTTCTACTTCTACCACTACGAGATGGGAGAAAATGGATAAGGAGTACAGTTGCTCAGATTCATTCGGAATCGGAATCTGGCTGCACAGGTCCTACCTGGTTACTTATGAAGAGTCTGAATCTATTAGCCCTATGAACTATCCAGCATATTTGGAGCTGTGTGGGTGACCTCCTGTGTCTTAGATCCCTGCCCATCCTGATTGATTAAAGTCTCCCAGGAGATAACATGAAAAACATAATCAGATCCCTGCTGGATCAGACCCCTGGCCCATCTAGTCCATCAATCTGTTTTCATATAGCCAAGCATCTGGACAAAAGAGCCCTCTAATCCTCCAGCAGAGGGCCTTCAGAGCAGTTGTATACTTCAATCAAGTGTAATAACCATTGATCCTCATGACTTCCATGAACTTGGGGGGGGGGACTTCCAACCCCTTTTTTGAAGCCAGCCAAGCTGGTAACCAGCACTATATCTTGTGATCGTCAATTCCAAAGGTGAATTACCCATTAAAAAATTCTTTTCTTCTCTCTTGATTCTTCCAGGATTCAATTTCACTGAATGACCTCTGCTTGTAATATTTCAGTCCTTCTTCACTTTATCCACATCATGCATAATTTTGTATACCTCAATCATGTCCCCTGTTATACAACTGATAGGGGAGCTGCTCCAGTCCTCTGATTACTTTAGTTGCCCTCCTCTGACCTTTCTCTAGTCCTATGATATCCTTTTTGAGGTGTGACTGCACACAATATTCTAGAATGGTGACACCATTGAATTTATATAAGGACATTAAGATTTTGGCATCTCTGTACTATTTCTTATGTAATTGGGTCCATGCAATGGTGAGTGGATTTCTGTTTTTTAAAGAGATGATTATCTTCCATCTTCTTAAGAGGCCACAACTTAACTCAACACACCTGGATAATGTTTATTTCGTTTCCAATCTTCTCATCTTGGGGAAGTTTGTAAAGAAAATGGTCAGTTTACAGCTCTAGAGGGCTCTAGAAGAAGCAGATTATGTACTCTAGTGACTCAATATTCAGGCCTGACTTGGACAGCTTTATAGCTATGCATCTACATATACAACCATATACATACTGTCTACACATACATATACCAAAACACATGAGAGCTGGTTTGTTGCAGTGGTTAAGGCATCAAGCTAGAAACTAGAAATTGCGAAGTCTAATCCTGGACATAAAGCTAACTGGGTGACCAAGGGCCAGTTATTGTTTTCTTAGCCCTAGGAATGAAGAAATGGCAAATCACTTCTGAAAAACCTCACCAATAAAACTGAAGGGACTTGTCCAGGCTTTGAGAATCAGATACGAATGAATGGAAGAAAAAGAAAGCATACACGTACATTCAGAACAAACAAGCATTTAGGAAGTTCCTTTTTCATTGCTCACATGTTGAAGACTTAAACAATAATGCAATATACCTGAGCCAATGACTGGGCACAGATATGTTTCACAATTATCTCCCCAGGCTGCTCCTTCTGTGCAACAGCATTCCTCCTTTGTGGTGTTATTGGCTAAGACACTATCACACAATGGGACATCACTGATGTGATAATAGCACTCCTTCCGCTCTGTATTATCTGGATGTAAAAATACAGGCCTTCTAGGTTCCCCTGAGATGAGAGTAAAACATAATTTATATGACAGAATCACATTGATAACATTCTGTTGGACAAACAGGCACACATCTGGAAATTATCTGATGAAAGCAATCTGTCAGAGCAAAGCATCCTCTAGACTTTATTACATTATTAATCATAGCAATGTAAAATATATTTCACAAATTCCAAATAGTTTAATTGGAAGTTTACTTGCATTTGTCTTTCCAAATGCAAATATAATACAAGTCATCATCATCTGCATTATATTCTTTATCTGTAAATAAAATTTCTCTCCAAATTACAAATGATTGCTTAAAATGGAAAAGTTAGCCTCCCACTGATTCCCACAACACATTTCAAAGAGGCTATGTTTTATATTACTTTAAAACTGTCTTTAATGGCTATATGTGCTTGAATGCTTTCATTAAAGCATGCTTTTTTAAAGAGTTGCAACCAATATTGTCAATAAAGCACATTTTGTTGAACACTTAACTCTACTTTCCCAAAATATTAAAATGGAGCTGGACATCATGTTACTAATGACAAATCAGGGATTATGAAAATCTTGTATTAAGACCATTTATTTGAAGACTCCATTTTGAAGCAGGAGAAAAATCACTCAAATGCAACTTCTATGTCATTATCCATTTATAGTTAACTGTTTTCAAATCTTGCTTTCATAAATGGGATTTAATATGCTTCTAGCTATTTTTTCCCTCTCTGAACCAAAAGGTGTTTGGTTAAATATCCACATGAGATTACATTTAATAGACTTGTTATATGCATAAGAAATTCAGATTATGGTCAATGTGATTAAACACTCTCTGATGTTGGAATATGTTAAGAATTTAGACGACTTCTACTCACTGATGATGTTACCTAGTTTGGTAATGAAATGTCTATAAGAAAATCACCAAGGTCAGAGAGCATCATGGAGCCCACAATTCTTTCTTTTACCCAGACCAAAAAGAAGAACTTGCAAGAATTGCATATCCAATTTCCATTTGCAGGATATTGTTCACTAAACCCTTACCTATGCCTGATCGAGGGCGACATTCCCCAGTTTCTGTGTCATACTCCTCATGGTCACTTGGACACAGGCACAAGAAGGCTCCTTCTACGTTTTCACAAAGTGCAGTCCCACACACTGCAATCATCAGCTCACATTCATTCACATCTGCAAGAATCAGAATACAGTCTATCAATATGCCTGCTAAATTCAGTGCTTTTTGGAGTCATCATTTCTGTGTCTCATCTAAGGAGTTAATGTCTACATTCTGCAAAGTTGCACCTTTACATTTCTGACTCCTCATGCCTGTTTTCTAAAACTTAGAGCTATGTCAGCAAAATGTGGTTCCTGCTGTAGTTCATGGGATACAACTAATAATTCTGTTGGCTAAGTTGTTAGTACAGAAATATGATCTCTAGGGATAAAATAGCTGAAAAAATAGCTTAAGTATTAGATATATGAACAGGAAAAAATGATAGGACAGCCAAATGTTTAAACACTGTCAATAAATGATGGCCCAATTTTGTTTTCTGTATCTGAAGAAATGGAACCTAAATCAATGAATTTGAAATGTTAAAGAGGAAACTTCAAGAAAGCATTAGGAAGACTATTTTGCTAAGATATCTGGCAATGAGCAAACTTGGTGGATTCTTTTTTGACAAAAACCTTTAAATAGAAGATCTATGAGTTTCTATAAAAGTTGTACTTGATGATGTCTTGCAACAAAGGTTTATATTTGATGATCTCTATCATCCTTCCAGCTCTAGGTTTCAGCATTCCTCTGAACGATACTGTTTTTCTCCAAGAAAGTCTGGGTTTTATACAAATGCTTAAGCCTCAGATTATGCTACAATCACAACTAGTATTTCTTTCCAAAAAGAACTAGATTTAAAGATTCGTCTGGGAATTGCATTTTTTTCAGTCCTATCCTTACAGTATAAGGCTTCATTCACAAAGAACTTGAGAATTGGGAAGTTGGAATTTCAAATACAATTAACCCCACCCCTCACCCAAAAAACCCCCAATGTTATCTTTAAGCGATTTTACTCAAGACCATAACCTTGATAAACATGTTGGAAAGGTGCCCGAATTCTGTATAAAGAGGCAGTGTGCATCTTGGAAAGCTGAATGACTCTTACCAATGCAATCATGGTTTGAAGGGGAATTTGTATAGCCACGGTCACACAAGCAATGGAATGACCCAACAGTGTTGTCACAGAAACCATGGCTTCCACACAGGGTCTCATTGGCACATTCATCAATATCTGCATAACAGATAGATCAACAAATCAGTACATAGTCCTTTCTAAAGACTAGGCAAACCTTATTTTGCTTCTTCATTTCAGACACATGCTAGCAATGTGACTCATGTGGATATTTTTAATTCATATCAAGAGACTGTGCAAAAATGCAAATGTCATGAATTCATTTTAATATAACTTCAGTATTATCAGAGTGACATTTCAGCAACAAAAAAGAAACTCTGGAGAATTAAGAAACTGAAAGAGGAAGCATTTAGGTCTGAAGTACTGAACTTTATGTTCTGTGTATACTATAAGTAACCCAATCCAAATTCTTAAGAGCAATGTTACATGTCTCTCAATGTGCATTAATTACACTTCTAGTTTTGTATTATGGCCCTCCTTCTGCAGAGGTTTATTTGAAATTTAGCTAATATTAACAGAAGGAATCTTAATATACTGTAGTTATTGTTGATAGATGTATTTCTCCTTGGAAGAAATGCATAGTCTTCGATTTAAATTATTGCAATCTCTCTCCCATTTCTTGATGATATCAGGTCCTGAGAGAAATACTTTAGAATTTGGTCTTGCAGAAATATAGGAGTAATGTTCTCATTATCATAATGGACGTGTAATATACCTTTCACTTAATTTTTCAACATGCTTTTTATCTCACATAAATAAACATTCTCATTGTCCAGACATAAAATTTTGTCATCCATAATTTTAGAGGAGAGGTTTAATAATATTCCATTCTGAGCTTGTTTTTGTCCTTAGTTGGACTGAGCAATTTACACAATATCTCAAGTTCTGTTGCGTTACTTTTTTATATTGGTCTGTGGAAATATCTAGGAAGGTTGCCAGATTTTGACTGATTGTGATTGCTATAAGTTCAATACTGGAAAACATTTATGAATTGATTATTGATTTACTGCTTTAGATGTAGCTCATTTCCCACTCTATTATCTGCTTGTTTTCTTTTGTGCTAATATCTTATTCTGCTTTTATTTGATGGTGTTATACTGGTACTTTAGTCTTTGATCATAGACTATATATTTAGCATATATTGAACTGAGAATAACATCAGGGATGGAAGTATTTACACTGTCTCCTCCTACATGAATTAGCTAGCAGCAATAAATAGGAAAAGGGAAGTTATGAGTCAATTTCTATCAAACTGCTTTTCATTCTGGGTACTTTCATGTCTATTTCATCTATGGGAGATACACCTGTTTAATAAACTGTCTAAGAGGAAGAGCAAAACAATATCCATTTTGTTAAAAGAGAAAGAGAGACAATCTCCAAACATTTCAGACTACAGCCAGATAGTATTTTTATCTCTATAATGTAAACATGTTTCTCCTTCTTTATAAAATGGAATTCTTCTCTGCAGAGGGTCTTCCTTGACATTTACACACCCCAGAGTTTTCCCAACAGCACCTACCAATGCATTCACCAAATGGTGTGCGATGGAAGCCGGGAGGACATCGCATAATGCAGTGGAATGAACCCAAGGTATTCTGGCATTGCCATATGCCACAAGCAGTAGCCCCAAATTCTTCACATTCATCCACATCTGTCATCCATGGGAAAACATTTTCAAAAGAATGTATTAAAAGGAGAACAATTAATAGAAGACTTGGCAGCAGTAAATTGTAGGGAAAGGGGGAAACATGAAAGATGTCTTAAAGACAAGAAGAACCTGAAAAAAATGCACAAGCCCTGATGGCTAACATAGTTAACATTCAAGTATCCTTAAGTAACAATGGGCAACTCTCATGTTTGTGGTCCCAGAGCAACATTGATTGTGTTACTAAAATTGATTAAGATTTTTTGGCATTTGGGGGAGTACAATAAAAAACAAAAAGTGGATACAGTGCCCACAAGACTGGTATACCTGCCCAGTGTGATAGTCTTACATCAGTAGCAATGCCCCCTATAGCAGCTAGAGTCCATAAAAAAAGGTTGCCTTATCACCAAAATACAGTGTTGACCCCCCAAAATTGCCTGGTTCTGTAGAATAAGTATTGTAGTTCTAAAATTTGGCTGAACAAGCATAATAAATTAATAATGGGAATGAAATAAATAAACAGTATCACTTCAGGGGAGATAAGCATTCTTAAAAGAACTGCTCTGCAGCACTAGTACTGAAAACAATAACATTTTCTTAGAAGATGGAGGGCAGCTATATAGTATGGAGTTACCCACCTGCACATGTGAATTGAGACCCAATAAACCATCTGGAGCTGTTATTTTTATTAAGAAGAAACCTTGCATTGACATAATGCAAAGAACTTCTCTCGTGCCAATAACAGCTTTAGGGGAGCAACATTTCCCAGGATCTCAGCCTGGAAGCAAAGGGTTAAACTTCCACATCCCTACCAATCTCTCTCAGCCCCATGCCAGCAGCTAACATTTGTTTTTGTTTTTGTTTTAATGTAGATATAAAATACAAAAATGCCTCCAACAATTGGCTTAGCTTGATTTTGATCTATCGTCCTCTTCCTTCTTCTTCAGAGGTCAGCTCTTACCTACACAGTCATCTGTTTCCTGCAAATGCTGGAAGCCAGTTTGACATAAGCAGCTGTAGGATCCTTCTGTATTGATGCACTGACCGTGCAAACACCGGGTCTGATCAGCACATTCATCCACATCTGCCAAATACAATACAACATACAAGCACAGGAAAAGAAGCCAGACTTTAATGTGAAATAGTATTGAAATAGAACAGCAGAAAGCTAAACTAGGAAGGGTTGATAGTATGTAATGGAGGAATTCATCTGAGCTGATCCAAATGAATTAATCTGAGCCTAATTTGGAATGGACTAAATTAGCTAATTTGAATTCAGGTTCTCCGATTTCCCTAAATTTAAATTGCAAATGGAAACAGAATGTGAAAAACCTTATAGCAAGCAATGGAATAAATTCATAGTTGGGAATTAGAAATAGAATTCTTTATTGGCCAAGTGTGATTGGACACACAAGGAATTTACTTTGGTGCAAATGGTTTATTTCTAATTGGGAATTATATATACTATCATTGTTTTCCCTAATATCTTATACTGTCATTGTAGCATCATTCAGCCAATTTTGAACCCATCCTCATTACTGTTATTTTGACAATACAATGACTGGATGAATCTTGAAGATGTTTTAAGTTATTAGGAAAATGATTAATATTAAGTTAGCAAGCGGAAATTACACTTCCCATAATTTAGCATAGAAAGCTTAGCTTGCCTGTGGCAAAAATGAAATCTAAACTGAGAACTTTTCAGAATTTATAAGCCCTGTCATCAACATTGTACCTTACTTCAGTAATTTTTGGAAATATGGACATGTAAAAGCAGGGGCAGAGTGTAGGGTCCGCAGTATCCTAGATTTGTAGAAGGTAATTCAGAGCATGTCTGGATACATATACATATGTTCTTTTCAGCACCTCTCTAAATCAAATACATATTTATCCTTAGATGGCAGTGTGAGTCCTAACGACATGAATTCTAATATGCATTCTGAATCATCTTTTCCCCTTCAAATGCTAGATTGCTGCACAATCTTAAGAGAAAATATAAAGTGGATGATGTTGAATGGGAAAGCATCTTTTAAGATCAGTCTGGGATCAGTCTGAAAAGAAAATAGCGGGGAAAGGAGACCTTTCTTGATCACTATAGCTTCTAAGATCTCACCCTGGCAGCTGACTCCACCAGCCGCATTTGAAAAGCCAAGAGCACAAATGCAGAAATAAGATCCATGACTGTTTAGGCATTTGCCGTTGGGACTGCAGATGCCACTGTCCAGACATTCATTCTGATCTGTAGGAGGTAAGGATAGTAAAGATAGTTACAGGGAATTCACTCTGAAAAGCTGCTACAGGTTATTCTAATTTAACACTATCAGCTAACATTCAGAACAAGATTATCTTACACTAGTCACATCTAAGCTATCGAGATGGGATATATTAAACAATAAGGGAAGCTGACATTAAAATGAAATGAAATGAAAATGAATGAAAACAGCTTTCTGAGAGTCTCCTCCAGAAATCTATTGTTGGAGAGAGCTCTAAATATACATACATATCCTGAGGTCTAGCATGTATTCACTTAAAATCAAGAAACAGGGGTCAGCAGTCATATAATTCAATGTAATATGAAAACTGAAATTGAAGTCTTTTTCAGCAAAAATCCATACCTGTTTTTCTCCTAGCTTTTTAATTGTGGCAACCTAATTTAAATGGGTAGGTGGAAATCCATATGCTGCCACTTAACAAGTTGTCAGAACTTCTTACCAATATATTTCAAAACAGCAATACATTAAGAAACCCTGGGGTATCTTTTGCTTATTCCAATTTTAAGCATGTTAACTGAGTTCCAAAAATTATGGGAGAGTAAGAATCAGTTGGCTACAAGCTGTAGACCAAGGAAGGTGATGGTCACTATCAGATACACAGTATGTCATTCTTTCATTCTATTATATTCAAATATGAAAAAAGTAAGAAACACAAATAAATTAGTCTTACATTATTATTTATATTATCTTTCTATAAAATACAGGTAGTTATCAATAATAATTGTAACTTAATTGATTTGATATAGGTTATAAAAGCACAGAATTAAGAACATAGAACAAAGACAGCACCCAAATGACAAGATAACAAGAAGAAACCAAATATTGACATGAGGAAAAAGAAACAAGAAGTAGGAAAGGAAAGCAGAAGTTAATATTAAGCTCCAGTTCCTCTATTACTTGTCAAAAGCATGTGAAAATAACTAGAATAACCCAGAGTAACCTTGCTCAACTTGATACTCTCCAGATGTGAAATTCTAGCTCCCAGAATCCCCATCACGTACGCAATCCCCACCCTGGCAGATAATTCTGCAGAATTCTCCGTTTATTTAGAGAACATCAATTTGGAGAAGGCTGGTTTAAATTATATAGATGAGCACAAGTGATACAAATACAAAGGTATTTAGAAGATGCTACTGTTTATTCTTCAAAAACAAGATAGATTCTCTACTTCCTTTTTGAGCAATGATGTAATTTTTTTCCTAGACACTAATGAGGCTGATTTGAACAAAAACTACATAAAATTCCCCAAATAAGTCTGTCTTTTTTCCCCTTTTTGTTTATGCTAGTTCTAAAAGTGACTAAATTAATGAAGAATGGGCAAATTCATCCAGATGTGTTACACTAAGCTTACCTTCACATGTGGTCCCATTGAAAAGTTCAAATCCTAGCTTACAATGACACGTGTAGGATCCTGGTGTGTTTAAGCACTCTCCTCCTAAACAGTAAATGTTTGGGTATTCACATTCATTACTGTCTGTTCAAGGAAAGGAAGGCATGATTAATGGAAAGCAACACCAATTAGGGAAGGAAAATTCCTTATAGACACAAGCTTAGACTTTTTTTGTGTTTATTTTAAATGAAAAAAGAAAGCTAACCTACAGGGTACCATTGCTGGAGCTATTAGTGGAGGAAATGTATGTGTTCTCCTGTCCAGCTGATATTAAAAGTGTACTGCAAATGCTTAAGAATATAATCAAACACATTCTATCCCTAAAGAAGTTCTGTCTATACAATTTTCTTTAGTGTATATATTTTATTTTATTTTATTAATATTTTATTGATATTCCAAAGTTTAAAAATATAAAATAAAACTTATTTTAATGAGCTTTGATCTTCTTAAAACATATTGATCAAGTATCAGAGCATACACACACACACACAGACAGACAGACAGACAGACAGACAGACACATACATCCCTGTGACTGTTCACTGTGTTATATATTTACTCACGCTAATACCAAGTTCTTCTAGCTCAAACATAGAAAGACATCAGCCTGAAAGGAAAATGTCTGGAAGTATTCATACCTAATAATCTTACACTACATATCTTTTATGCAGCAGTCTCTATATTAGTCACAGAGAATAACCATAGAAACAGATTGGGATATTGTTGGCTATGAACAAAATGGAGTAGCATTTTTTTTCAAATCTGATTTACACACACACACACACACTTCTCACTATGTGTGCATCCATCTATTTGTAAAGTAATATAAGGACTCTTCTCTTTAAGGGCCACTCAAATGCTGGAAAGGAGCAAGCCAGGATATGCCATTGAATAAATATCAAAAAGTAGTTGCAATTATTCTCAGTCACCTAAGGAATGTTCCAATGATATACAGTATACCAAACCTTCCAACATGTGTTTGGACTTCAATTATTTTATATGTATACTTGAAATAGCTCACCTCTAAATTAAAAATATATTATACAGTTCTAAGAAACAGGGATTGTCCACCAAAAACATAGTTAATATGCTTCATTTTCCATTTGTCTCTATTGTTAAGGGTATAACTTATATTAATAATCTGACAAATAATGTGTATAATGTGACAAAAATGTATACTAGCTTCATCTAGTATATAACAGGTGCATGTTTTGTGGTCATTCTTTCTGATTTCTTTGATCTGTTTCAATCATTAAGGGTTTCAAGTTTGTCACCAGCCACACCCAGCTTGATAACCATAAGGAAATACTTAAATCTAAAGTAGTAGCTGGAAAGAAAGATAAACATTAACTTTATTGTCACTCTTAACCATGAACTAGGAATACAGTAGTGTCATTTCAAATGCAGAGCATTTATTAGCTATACACTATTACTGTATATAATGAAATACCTGCCAGTTCTTCTTCTCTGTTGAAAATTCCTAGATAATTTGCAAACAGGTTTGCCTCTCTTTTACCTTAAAATGTCTGGGTATATTTTTAAGTGTACACCTATAAATATAATGTGGAAAGTGGTCTCTAATAAAATTATTACTTATATAGAATTCTCTTTATGAATCTACCCACTGCCATAGCCGAACCTCTAAGCGTAATCTTTGAAAAATCTTTTAGGACCAGCTCCTTGCCTAACCTATGGTCACAAGCCACAGTCATCCCCATCTTCAAAAAGGGAGACCCCAGCCTAGTTGAAAATTACAGACCAATCTCTTTATGCTGCGTTACCTGTAAAGTCATGGAATCAATTATTAACCAATCCATCATCCTCCACTTAGAAACAAACAACCTATTCTCTAATAAACAATTTGGTTTTAGGAAAAAACTATCATGTAATCTGCAACTCTTACAGTGCAAAAACATATGGACTACACAACTCGATCAGGGCAAAGCAATCTACATAGACTTCTGTAAAGCCTTTGATTCAGCGGTACATGACAAAGTACTCCTAAAACTAAAATCTTATGGTATCTCTGGACACCTGCATTAATGGATAGAAGCCTTCCTGTCAAACAGACAACAAATGGTCAAAATTGGGAGCATCCTATCAAATTCTGTACCTGTCAACAGTGGTGTCCCCCAAGGCAGTGTTCTAGGACCAACTCTTTTCATACTCTACATAAATGACCTCTGTGATCATATCAAGAGCAACTGCATTCTCTTCACTGATGATGTAAAGCTATTCAACACCACAGACAATACTGCTACCCTTCAAAAGACCTTGACTATGTATCAGAATGGTCAAACAAATGGCAACTTCAAATCTCAACAAACAAATGCTCTGTCCTACATATTGGCAAAAAAAAAATCAGAAAATAAAATACAGGCTGAATAGTCAAGACCTTGTTGATGATCCAAACTCTGTCAAGGATCTTGGAGTACTCATCTCAAATGACCTAAGTGCTAGAGCCCACTGTAACTACATAGCCAAAAAGGCGTTAAGAGTTGTTAACCTAATCTTACGTATTTTTTTCTCTGGTAATATTACACTAATAACTAGAGCATACAAAACATTTGCTAGGCCAATACTCGAATACAGCTCATCAGTCTGGAACCCACATTACGTATCTGATATTAGCACAGTTGAGAAAGTCCAGAAATATTTCACAAGAAGAGTTCTCCAGTCCTCTACTCATTGCAGAATACCTTATGCCACCAGACTCGAAATTCTAGACCTAGAAAACCTATAACTACGCCACCTTCTGTCCGATCTAAGCATAGTATATAAAATCATACATTGCAATGTCCTACCTGTCAATGAGTACTTCAGGTTCAACCATAACAACACTAGAGCAAACAATAGATACAAACTCAAGGTTAATCGCACCAAACTTGATTGCAGGAAATACGACTTCAGCAACAGAGTGGTCAATGTCTGGAATACTCTGCCTGATTCTGTGATTTCGTCCCCAGACCCCAAAAACTTTAACCTTAGACTGTCTACTATTGACCTCACCCCTTTCCTAAGAGGTCTGCAGGGGGCGTGCATAAGCACACCAACGTGCCTACTGTCCCTGTCCTATTGTTTCTTTTATATTTTTTTATTTTTCTTATATGTATCCATGTATTTATAACTATGATTTTACTTATACCTATTATCTTGTAAGCAATTGAAAAATAAAAATAAATAAAATAAATAAATAAATCTGGCTTCTCCCATTGACTTGGCTTGTCAGAAGCAGCTGGGAAGGTTACAAATAGTGATAACATGATCCCAGGACAGTGCAACTATCATACCTACATGCATCCCGGTTGTCAAGCATCTGGAATTGATCACATGACCACAAGGATGCTGCAACCATTTTAAGTATGAAAAAAACCCCATAAATTGCTTTTTTCAGTGCCTTTATAATTTTCAACAGTCACTAAATGAACAGTTGTAAGTCGAGGATTACCTGTGTTGTTTTTTTTAACTGCATGGTTTTCAGATTTAGAGTGGATGTTTCTACATGTGTAAAACATGTCTGATGTACTGTATCAGAGAACAATTCTAATATAGGAAGGTTATAAAAGAAACAAAAGGTATAATTGAAAAAATATGTAGGGAATTATTTTATATAATTACTTTCTATATAGAGTCCATATTTTCCCAATTTAACTCTTTATAGAAAAATATCAGTTGCATATGTGACCCTTTTGTCTGGGAAACTGTTGGAATTGAGGTCAACTTCAATTTTAGTCTCCACATTTTTCTATTCCTGTTTTCCAAAGCTAGTTCTTCAAAGCAATCAGCAAAAATAAAAAGCAATTAATGATTGTTCATTTTCTTATTTTTAACAAATTGATTTTAATTTATCTAAATTTAGTTTTTAAACTGGTTTTCACTTTATTTTTATTTCACATTTTATTTGTTACACTTTTTATAGTGGCATATTTATTTTATTGGCATCATAACCTAATTATTCTGTCATGGAAAACTTGTGGGGAGATTTGATATTGAAAATTCAGTCTGGCACTTCTTGATCTCTCTGTTGTCATGGTGCATTAAATGTCTAGAATATGTGGGGACCATCCAATTAAGTAAACATCCCTCTCATCCCTTTCAACTCATAACATAGGACTTCACATTTTTTACTGAATAAAATGATGATATTTGTGAGCTTTCAACTTTTCCATTTTTAAAGTCCTTTTTAAATTAAACTATAAATAAAAATGGATGGAAAATTAACCATTTTAGATCATTAGTGGATGACCACTAGGTGACAGCAATAAGATGCAATAAACTATATAGCACTTTGCTTGTCACTAACTGATTTCCAGAGTTTTTCTCTACTAATCCGGTAAATCTTAATGTCTGGCCTTCTAATTTACAACTTTAAAAACAAAAGCAGATTATCTTATTTAATCACACTGAATCGTGCCCTTCTTTCTTTCATTCTCCTGACCCATTTTCTTTTTTTCTCCAAACTGACCTAATTTAATGTAATGAATGTTATCTGCAAAACTGCAACCAACTCATTAATTAATACATTAATCACTGCCAAATATTTCCAATCCCAATATCTTCAAGTATTTCATAATAGCCTGCCAAGGTTGTGAACTGTAACCTGGGAAAAACAGGATCAATATTCTACAAAATGCTTTCCTCCTAGGTGATGAATCTGGGAAAGGAAAAATCAATCCAGATCATAATCACTACCTCTTCTGCTTTTAAATGCACACAGGCCTAAAGTAAGCCAAGTGTTGAAGAATGAAATCAATATTATTACCTTCACAAGACTGTCTGTTAGATGAGAGAACATAGCCTATTTCACAAGTTTGGCAAGTGAAGGAGCCTGGTGTATTAATGCAAATTCCCTGTGGGCAGGCCATGTGTGAATTGCACTCATCAATATCTAGAAAAAAGAACAGAGTTTCACTGACATAGAATACGGAACAAGAAAAAGCTCAGAAAATCTATCCAATAGATGATTCAAAATATTATCAGGCAAATGTCTTTAGCATTTCCTCAACAGTGTATAAAAATGATGTGCTACATCCAATTATTTCTTCATATCAAGTAATATTCACTATATACTGTTTATATACACAGCTTCCAGTTAGTTTTCAATTAATTTCAATCAATAAGTTATTCAGATAACTTGATTTCTATGACAACAAAAATTTATTTATAAGACTATACAATCTTCTGGATTAGGCTAATGTACCTTTTTTAGTTAATCAGAATGTTATCCTTATCATCATATCAAGCCACATATATACCTTCACATGTTCTTCCATCCATTGATGCAATATAGCCATTATCACAAACCACACAAGAAAAGGAGCCCTCAGTGTTGATGCAGCGTCCTCTGGGACAGATGTTATAGGTTGTACATTCATCAATATCTATGACAAATAAAAGAAACAGGGAACTGAATTTTGAGTTGATGTCACTGAACTTGGCAGAGCAACAACAGAACATTAAAGAGCCCTATATAACTTTCAACAAATGATGCTATATGCAGAAGGACAATGTGTGCAAGTTATCAAGAAATGGCTATATTCCAAATAAGATTATTATTAGAAACTTCATAAAGTTATCCAAAAGCATTTGGAAATTGTATTAAGGGGTCTTACATATGGCTCAATGAAGATTAAGAGATTAAAGCTTCAATGTAGAAAATAAAAAAAAGTTGAAAAATGTTCATTTCTTTCTAACTTCTGATTGGCTGGTTATAAGGTCATTGGATGATAATGAACTTTTTAATAATATGGCAATATAAAATTATTGTCATAAAAGGGGGAAGGTCTTGTACAAGGATCATAATGATGGATCCCCAAAATACAACTTCAAAAAAGCCAACTATGATCTCATAGATGCTGACCTATCATCTCTTGATTGGCATATTCTGTTCTCTAGCTGTAATATTACAGAAGACCATTATAATGCATTCTTGTTTGAACTTGAAAGAGTCATTAAACTATATATACCATTAGTAACCCCAAAAAACAAAACAAAAAAAACAAATTACCCATAACAATAAGGAAACTTCAATTAAAAAAAGATGGCTATGGTGTAAAAACAAAACTAGCTACGTAGCAAACTTTAAAAACCAATACAACACCCTATGCAGTAAAAGATAAAGGCAGAATGCACAAATTACCACTGCAAGCAAGAGGAAAACCTCCTACGTACAAAATCCACCCGCACCTTCTACAATTTTGTTAACACCAAACTTAAAGAATCAAGAACCATTCCACCCCTAAAAGGACTAAATGGGAAAGACTGCAACCATGAAGCTGTTAAGGCCAATCTCTTCAACACATTCTTCAGTTTAGTCTTTGTAAATAGCAATGGTTCATGCCCCACATTTCCTAGTCATACCACAACTAACTGTAATGATCTACCACATATTTACTTTAGAGAAGATAATGTAGAAAAGGCACTACGTAACCTAAACCCATCCCTATCTATTGGCCCCGATGGATTATGTGCATACTTCTTAAAAAAGCTCTCCTCTGTCATAGCAGAACCCCTAAGCATTATATATGAAATATCATTCAGAACCAGCTCCTTACCAAACCTATGGTCCTTAGCTACGGTCACCCCTATCTTCAAAAAAGGTGACCTCAGCCTGGTTGAAAACTACAGACCAATCTCACTGTGTTGTGTCACGTGCAAAATCATGGAATCAATCATTAACCAATTCATCACTCTCCACTTAGAGTCAAACAACCTACTTTCCAAAAAACAATTTGGAAACCTGCAATCTTCAACTCCTACACTGCAAAAACATATGGACTACTCTACTGACCAGGGTAAAGCAATAGATGCAATTTACATAGACTTCTGCAAAGCCTTTGATTCAGTGGTACATAACAAATTACTGTTAAAACTAAACTCTTACAGCATTTCTGGATCCCTCCATAAGTGGATTACTGCGTTCCTGTCAAACAGGCAACAAATAGTAAAAATAGGGAGCACTATATCAAACCCTGCTCCAGTTAACAGTGGTGTCCCATAAGACAGTGTTCTAAGACCCACACTCTTTATACTCTATATAAATGACCTTTGCGATCACCTTATAAGCAACTGCATCCTCTTTGCGGATGATGTAAAACTATTCAACACCACCAACAATGCTACTACCCTTCAAAGCGACCTTGATTGTGTGTCTGAATGGTCAAACATCTGGCAACTCCAAATCTCAACCAACAAATGCTCTATCCTACACATTGGTAAAAAAAAAAATCAGTACACCAAAAAACTAGGTGGATATGACCTCGTTGATGATCCTCACTCTGTCAAGGACCTTGGAGTTCTCATATCAAATGACCTAAGCACCATTGCCAAAAAGGCCTTAAGAGTTGTAAATCTAATATTACGAAGCTTCTCCTCCGGAAATGTCAAATTGCTAATGAGCATACAAAACTTTTGCCAGACCAATACTCGAATACAGCTCATCAGTCTGGAATCTGCATTGCATATCAGACATTAATACAATCTAGCGAGTCCAGAAGTATTTCACAAGAAGAGTACTATACACCTCTGCTCGCAACAGAATACCCTATATCACCAGGCTGGACATTTTGGGCTTGAACAACCTTGAACTATGCCGCCTACGGTTAGACTTAAGCATAGCACACAAAATTATCTGCTACAATGTCCTATCAGTCAATGACTACTTCAGCTTCAACCACAACAATACAAGAGCACACAACAGTTACAAACTCAATGTAAACTGCTTCAAACTTGATTTCAGAAAGTATGACTTCAACAACAGAGTGGTCAATTCCTGGAATGCACTACCTGACTCTGTTTAGACATTCTCTAACCCCCACTCCTTTAACCTCAAACTAACCACTATTGACTTCACTCCATTCCTAAAAGTAAGGGGCGTGCATAAGTGCACCATCATGCCTACCGTCCCTGTTCTAGTGTACCCATTTATTTGTACCTATTTCCTGTATTCTTACTCATGTTTATACTTATATCTATTATCTTGTAAGCAATTGACAAATCAAATAAATCAATAAAATAAATAAATAAATAAGAGGAGCTGTATATTGTTACAAAGTACCCATGAAGGAGAGAGGACTACAGTTTATATTTTCACTCAAAGTAACCAGCAAAACTTCATATTCTGGTTCTTATCCAGTGCCATGTCCTAATTTGGCAAAACTTATTTATACAGATCCAAATTAAGGTTTTGCTACTTCTGTTTTCTGCCTGTGACTGTCTAATGAGACAGACATCTGCCACTGACAGCACTGAGGCAGGACTGAGCAAAGACTGGTCACTGCTAGGCTCTTTCTTGTGGCCTTCCTTCTGTCATTACCTAAGCTAAATAAAATAAAACAATAACAAAAACAGGTTTTGCATAAACAGAACACACCAGCTCCCAGATTTCTAAGGGAAGGAGCACAACTTGATCAACTAATCCACTTACCTTGTGGTAAAACAGCAAGGGCCAGGGAATTTAATTACTCTGTTAACTGCTACCGTAGCTAAGTAGACTCACACTTCAGGCAGAACTACTGAAGGCAATTATAAAGCAATTCTAAAAGACAATCTGCACAAGGTTTCTCTGTCCAGCTCTGTCCAGCTCTTTAAGGAAACTTCAGAATGGAGGACTGGCCTGACTAGGGGTTAGAGGGATAGACAGCTGCCTTGTTTCTTACAGAGCCACTTCTGTGAGATATTAACTTGATTGCTTAATAAATAAATAGCAGCCATAAATGCCAAATAGCAACATAAAATTATGATCATAAAGGGAAAAGGTCTTGCAAGAACAAAGGATAACTTGATTTTGGTTCTGTTGTCATGCTTAACAAATTTTAAAACCCTGAGGATAAGGGGGTCACCTAATGAAGGGGAGAAACACTACCTTGCTCTCATCTTATGTCCAAATATTGCTCATCTCCAGTTTCAACTTGAAGAAGTTTTGCAGTGATGACTGCAACAATTTAATTTCAACAAAATAAGCAAAAAAGCTTAATGATTTAATGACATGGGAAGTGAGTCTGAAGCATTTAAGCCTGGAAGCAGTTAAACAGTTATGTGCAAAATATAAAACCAGAATTTGTTGATTTCTGACAGACTTGCTGTTAGGAATTGATAGTCACCTAACAGTTGGGTTGGAAATATATAAACCAGGATAGACATTTAATACTGTCTCTTTAAGCAAATGCTAAAATTGTAATTGGGTGTGGTTCCTCAAATGGCCATAAGATGGAGCCAAAAACCTGGGTTGTTTGTTCTGTTGTTGTTAGTTGCTAGTTGCTAGTTGTTCTTTGTTCAATGTTTTTGGTTCCTGCATTTTTCCCTATTGACTGTTGCTGATCGTCGTTCTTCTTGGATTTGATGTGAGTCTATTTACTGAACTGTTTATGATACTGGACTTTGTTATTTGGATTATCCCTGGACTGAAAACTGACTCCTTTAACCGTGTATGACTTGAACTGTTTGTTGGACTTTGCTTAACCGTTTACTGGAAGTAAAACCTACATTTTACTATTCAGTGTATCTGTGTGCTGGTCGTGTGTTATTCAACATCACTCTCACTACGTTTCCCTGTGTGCACTCATTCTCCTAATGGGGAATACCTCAACACTGGTTATGGGCCCAGGCCCTACCAGACTCAGATAACTGAGAGTTAGTGTGAATACACAGTACCGTATACAGACAGCTGTTTACTGTTTAATTGTGGGTTACTGTCCTGGTAAAGATGGCACAAGACCCTTCAACAAGTCTATCACTGATAACCCGGTTGGATGGAACAAACTATGTTTCCTGGTCTATGAAGTGCAGTCTACTTCTGCATAGAGAAGGGTTATGGAATGCAGTTGAAGATCCACTGGATGTAAATGCTTGGGATCCAGATGATGAGGACGATGCCAAGAAGCTTGCTGACTTTAAACGGAACAACGAACGAGCTCTTTGTATAATTGGACTAACACTGAGTGACTAGCAGCTAGTCCATATTCATGGAGAAGAGTCTGCTGCTAGGTGTTGGGAGAATTTGAAGAGAATTTATGTTCGTGACAGTGTAGGTGCACACATACATCTTACACGTAAACTGTTTAGAGCACGTCTTCTGAAAGGTGGCGATATATTAGCTCATTTGAACTTTATGAAAAGAACTTTTCAAGAGCTACATGAAAAGGAACTGATATTTTCAGAGCTGCATCAAGTTTACATCATTCTTTCCTCATTGGATGAAAGTTATGATAATTACGTCTCTTCACTGGAAGTCCTGACCAGAGATAAGCTGACATTGACTGACATAACCGGAAGATTGTTAGAAGAGGCAAGAAGACGGCTGGATAGGGACCAACTGAGAAAGAAACAACCACAGAAGAGGATTTGTGTTCATCTGCCTATACTGTTAGGAAATGTTTTTCTTGTGGGGCTAGGGGACATGTAGCTAGATTCTGTAAGAAGGGAAAACAACAGAATACTGGTAATCACCAGAAGGCTAAGAAGAATGTTAGTTTAGCTATGTCTAGAAATTCAACTGTAAACTATGATTTGTGGGTAGTTGATAGTGGAGCATCGCAGTGCATTACTAAAAATAGAGAGAGGTTTGTAACGATGTCCACAAGTAAGCAACATGTATCATTGGCAAATGGATGGAAGATGAAAGCGTCTGGTGGAGGTACTGCATATTGTTCATGTGTAAATGAGCATTTAACTACGTTATATGTACCTAAACTGAAATTTAATTTGTTATCAGTAAGGGCTTTAATTAATCTTGGTTATGTAGTAACCTTTAGGGGAGATAACTGTATAATAGAGAAAGAGGGTAAAAGTGTTACTGCTACTTTAGAGAATGATTCATATGTTATACATGAAGACCAGTTGCAGATGGCTAACACAGTTTATAACAACGTTAAGCCACATGATGAATGTATACATTTACTGCATAGATGTCTAGGGCACATTAATTTCAAAATGTTGAAACAAACTGTTGAATTGTCAGAGGGAGTAAAATTAAAACCCTATAGTAAGTACTTAAACTGTAATGCCTGTAACCAAGAGAAAGGTAAGGTTACTCCAGCAAACAGACTGAATGGGTTTAAGACCAAAGAACCTTTAGAGGTTGTGTTTGCTGATATAATTGGTCCTAAAAAACCCAGTTTGGGAGGTGCCCGCTATGTTTTGAGTATAATGGACCATTACTCACGGTACGGTTTCTGCTATCTAATGAAAAACAAAACAGAAACATTCCAACATTTCTTTAATTGGCTAAGGTTTGCAGAGAGAAAAATGAAACATAGGGTAATTACTTTAGTTACTGATAACAGGACTGAGTTTATTAACAATAGATTCCAAACTATGTTAAAATTGGCTGGTGTTGAGCATAAACATTCTGCACCTTACAGGCCACAACATAACTAGTTTCTAGAATGAAGAGGGCAAAGGTTACAAGCCATGGCTCGCACTATGTTATCTGATTCAGGTTTGAGTCTATTTACTGAACTGTTTATGATACTGGACTTTGTTATTTGGATTATCCCTGGACTGAAAACTGACTGCTTTAACCGTGTATGACTTGGACTGTTTGTTGGACTTTGCTTAACCGTTTACTGGAAGTAAAACCTACATTTTACTATTCAGTGTATCTGTGTGCTGGTCGTGTGTTATTCAACATCACTCTCACTACGTTTCCCTGTGTACACTCATTCTCCTAATGGGGAATACCTCAACACTTGCTCAACACTGTTGACTTAATGGTGGATTCATATATCAACTATTTGGGATAGACTTGGAGACAGCATACTCTGCCTATGCAGAGTGATATCTTCCTAACAGTTTAACTTCCAAACAAAATAAACATGGCCAAAAGTAGCTCCTTCTCAGTATTTGCAACTAAATTTCATTTAGACTTCCTAATCTGTCCACTGTTTGGGGGTAATTGGCTTTGAGGTCTGTAGAGGTCTCTGCTGTGAAACAGAGATAATGCAATTATGATCTTAGCACAGATCTCTATAGCACTGTGAACAATGCAAGTTTAGATTTGCAAGGAAATTAGGAGAAAAATGCTTGACACAGTCAGAGGAAATGAGTGCCACATGCAGGAAAGAAGAATAAACTGAACTTTTTAGAATTGTTTTGTTAGAGGAAATGATACAGCATAGCACTGAAAACTGAAATATAAACTTCTTCATATTAATTTTTAATTTGTATCTTACTTTTGACCTAAACTTTTTAGTGGAGAGATGATTATATTTCAGTGAAAAGGCATATCTTTTACTTGCAGGAGATCTCACAGCAAACTTCCACATTTTTAATTTGAAAAAAAATGATGGGAAAAATCTTTGTCCAGTTTTCAGAGGAGCCTTGCCTGTTTGAATCAATAAGCACTGCTGAATTAGACATTTTCTACAAGGCTTATTCCATTATAAGCCACTCAATATCACCATTCTTTAGAGCAGGTGAAATATTGAGAAAGAAGTGCAGGTAGTACTTTGAATATCCTACTTTTTTTATTCTGAAGAAAACCAATTATGATGGAAACATCTTCAGACATAAATGATTTAAACCAATATATGTAGGTTACAAAAGGGAAGTCAGAATATAAAAACAGCACTATTTTGCATTTTCCTTCTTTCCAGAAGAGGGCAATCTCTGTTCAGAAGATTCCTTATCAGCATTATTTCACACATCCTATTTATTTGTAGCCAGATAAAAGTTAAATCTGAATTAACAGAATAAAAGTGAAAATATACACCTTTCTAAATGGGCATGTTCTCTGTTAAAGATACAAGTTGCATTAAAAAGCTAAGTGAATCTGTAAGGAATTAATTTATACATGTCAAGTATTTTGAACTACTTGCCAAGAAAGATCAAAATTAGCTATGAAAGGAGAACATTTCAGAAAGCAGAGGTCTTTTGCAAACTCACCTTCACACTGTCCTTTGTGATTCAGGAAGTAACCTATTTTGCACTCACAGTGATACGAGCCAGGTATGTTGATGCACTGCCCTCCATGGCACACATCTGACTGGTCACACTCATTTAGATCTGTTTAAAAAGCAATGTGCTCTTCAGCAAAAATGATCAATCCAAATTGCTAAGATGCACCATAGTCAAGTACTTAGCTCCTTATATTACCCTCTTAATACAGTATGTTTAAATTGGAATTACCATGGCAAATTAATATACCTTAAACACATTGAAGAAAAATCTAGTTCTCTGGTGAAGTCTATAATACTGGGGGGAAACAAAAGGAAAGAGGAGGACAACCAAACAGAAGGTAAATGGACTCAATTACGGTGGCAATGGGATCAAAATTGGGTGAACAGAAAGACCAAGTTGGGCACAAATTGTCCTGAAGAAAGTCTATGGCCTCTAAAAGTTGGCACTGACTCGATGGCGTATAATCAATCAATAATTAACATTTAATCTAATTTGCATATTTCAAAATGTAAATGCTTCTGCAAAAATATGAAGAGACAAAAGTTTTTAGACACACATACTATTTACTTCCATATTTAATGAAAGGTTTGTTATCTTTTTTGTTATATATTAAATCTGCTATCTGCTTTAATTAACAAAAGTATAGGGCAGGAAATTGAACATGATCTAAATTAATACAATAATAATGGTATGTAATAGCTAAACAATAAAATAAAACATGGCATTGCCAAAATGTGGACCAATACATGCATAATTTGATTTGTGATCTGCATTAATAGAGAAGGATCTACTTCTCAGGATTTTAAAGTATTAAAACTGAAAACAAATTTGCCCCTGTTTTCTTATTCAAAATTTCTATAGCATTCAAGCTTTTAAATGTAACTTTCTCTTACATGCATAGATTTTATTATATATATTCCATAAAAATCATTACATAATGAAAATCTTCCTATTCTGTTAGTTAGCTTTTTTTAAAAAAGATAAATGTTCCTGATGTAACATCTTTTTAAAAAAATAAACATGCCCAGTTTATATTCAATTTTTGGAAACATTATATCTTTTCAGACATAAAAGGTAGATCCTAAAAGACTACCTGGTGCTTCCCTCAGTGATGCAGAATAAGATGTTTGGTGTAACTTGCAGATATTTTCCCACATAAATAAGTCGTTAATTTCATTTACATTCTTTGATTTCATAGAAAGTTTACTCACCCTGACATGTTTGCATGTTTTGTGAAGTGAGAATGCTATACCCAGTGAAACAGATACAAGAATAAGAGCCTTCAGTGTTGACACAGTAACCCTTCCCATCACATGGATTTCTCTCGCATTCATCAATATCTGAAAAAAGAGGAGATAGTTAACAACATTTTGAAACTGACCTCCCTATCTGTAGTCACCCAGCCAGCTTAGCCATGGAAATCCCACATAAGTGAAAAGTGTAGTTTGTAGAAGACTGAACTAGAAATCACTGATTAAAACCGTATGTACAGCTTTTCGAATTACATTCTTTATTTCCCAATCTCTAACAACTTCTATATTTTAAACAGCTTTTTAATGTACTCATACTGCCACAAGACTATTTCCACTAGCAAAACTAATTAAATAACTAAAATACCAATGCAATAAGTGTGACTAGGATGTTGTTGATAACCAGTATAACACAAGCAGGTATATCCTTCAGGAAAGTTCACACAAGTGCCTGGCCCACACATATCAGGTGAAGAGGAACATAGATTTATCTCTAAAAAAGAAAAACAAAAAATGTTGTCAGGGAACAAATAAAATGTGCATATGTTATTGTCCCAAATCCAAGACAAATGTAGATATTTTATCTTAATTAATGTAATTCATTCGTGCTAGAAACAGCAAAGGCTAAACCTTAAAAGGGAATCAGTACCACTAGTCTAAACATAGAAATGTTATGCCCTGAGGTTGCCTGGTTTCTATCATTTATAAACCAAGATTTATAAAGATATATTCCTGTTTCAATAACTTCATTCTGGATTATACCAAACTCACTGGAGAAAATTTGGAATCAGCCCAACAACATGCAAGAGCTCAAAAAACACCCACATCTCTCAATAGATTTCAAAAATCCCACCAACCAGCCAGCTCACAAACAAACCAATACAGACAAAAGAGTATTGAGGCAGTCTTTGCTATGGGCTCTTTCCAAGAACGTTTTAGTGCAGAGCATAATGGCAGAGGCAGCTCTCCCAGACATTGAGACAAGACTGAAACAACACAGCTGCTATTATCCAAGCAGTAAACATATGTCTGCCTGAGGTCACAAATCTTCCCACTCCACCAAAAAAATGCTCAAGACTCAACTTGTGTGACCTGGAATAAATGACAAGAGACACTCCATAGCCTTCTGGCTCTGCCATTGTTGTTCTGTGGCTGAGACATGTTATTTTTCTATAAATTCTTCCCAGGTTTGCTTGAAAAGGGTTACTTGTGATATAAGTGTGACAGAAATGAGTGTTCTGAACATTATCCTATTTTGTTAGATTTATTACAATAGTTGACAAGTGGATCGGGAAGTTGCTGGTTCAAACAGCATCTTGGTCATGAACTTATAAAGTCTCTTGACAAAGCCTATATTCCATCTTAGGATCCCAGCCAACAATATTGGAGTAATGATTCTGAGTTGTTAGATTGTTGAAATATAGTATATAATGTGCTTGGAATACTAGTATCCTTTTTCTGCCTTCTCTTTCTCAATTATCCTGGGATTTGGCATAAAGATCTGTCCATTTCCATTTTTTTCAGTGAAAAGAAAAATCCTGCATCATAAGATGGTGATTAGGGGTAATTACTAGTTTGAAATGCATTATTTATGACTACCATATTCAATATATATGAGAAACAATGTAAGATTTCGTTAGAGTGAAAAAACTACAAATGCTGGAATCAATTTTAATATCACTTGGGAAACTGACATGAACTATTCTTTTGAGCATCATGAAATTCTAAAGTTTGACTGTCTTGTGTGAACCCATTTGAAATGCAAAATCTCTCTTTACTTGCTGCATACTGTAATTGAATTATGAAAAATAATCTATTAGAACACTGGTCAATATACTTGTGAATACTATTGCTGTGTCTCTTGAAGCAGCACTTTCATCTACAGCAGGGATATCAAACTGGCAGTCCATGGCCCGGATGACTCACGTGAAGGCCATGCCCATCCCAGCTCCATGAAAGTGTCACAATACATCAAGGGATGGTGTGATGCCACAAGTTTGACACCTGTGATCTACAGCTACTGGAAACTGTTTGGCAGGAGAAAGGGATGGATTCTCTTTTATATCCACTACAAAGGATATGAGAAACAGGCAAAAACTATAAACATATTAGTCAAATACCAGCAATCAACTGGCCTCTGTAGTCTTATACATTGCTCAAAAAAATAAAGGGAACACAAAAATAAGACATCCTAGATCTGAATGAATGAAATATTCTTATTAAATACTTTGTTCATTACATAGTTGAATGTGCTGACAACAAAATCACACAAAAATTATCAATGGAAACCAAATTTAGCAACCCATGGAGGTCTGGAATTATTTATTTTTTATTTATTTTTATTTATTTATTTGATTTGTCAATTGCTTACAAGATAATAGGTATAAGTATATACATAGTTATGAATACATGAAATGGGAACATATAAGAAAAATAAAAGAAACAATAGGACAGGGACGGTAGGCACGTTGGTGCGCTTATGCACGCCCCCTACAGACCTCTTAGGAAAGGGGTGAGGTCAATAGTAGACAGTCTTAAGGTTAAAGTTTTGGGGGTTTGGGGAAGAAACTACAGAGTCAGAGTATTCCAGACATTGACCACTCTGTTGCTGAAGTCGTATTTCCTGCAATCAAGTTTGGTGCGGTTAACCTTGAGTTGGTATCTATTGTGTGCTCTTGTGTTGTTATGGTTGAAGCTGAAGTATTCATTGACAGGTAGGACATTGGAATGTATGATTTTATATACCATACTTAGATCAGACCGAAGACGGCGTAATTCAAGGTTTTCTAGGTCTAGAATTTCAAGTCTGGTGGCATAAGGTATTCTACAACGAGTAGAGGACTGGAGAACTCTTCTTGTGAAATATTTCTGGACTTTCTCAACTGTGCTAATATCAGATACGTAATGTGGGTTCCAGACTGATGAGCTGTATTTGAGTATTGGTCTAGCAAATGTTTTGTATGCTCTAGTTAGTAGTGTGATATTACCAGAGAAAAAGCTACGTAGGATTAGGTTAACAACTCTTAATGCCTTTTTGGCTATGTAGTTGCAGTGGGCTCTAGCACTTAGATCATGAGAGATGAGTATTCCAAGGTCCTTTACAGAGCTTGGATCATCAACAAGATCTTGACTATTCAGCTTGTATTTTATTTTCTGATTTTTTTTGCCAATATGTAAGACAGAGCATTTATTTGTTGAGATTTGAAGTTACCATTTGTTTGACCATTCTGATACATAATCAAGATCTTTTTGAAGGGTAGCAGTATTGTCTGTGGTATTGAATAGCTTTACATCATCAGCGAAAAGAACGCAGTTGCTCTTAATATGATCACAGAAGTCATTTATGTAGAGTATGAAGAGAGTTGGTCCTAGAACACTGCCTTGGGGAACACCACTATTGACAGGTACAGAATTTGATAGGACACTCCCAATTTGGAGTTACACTCAAAATTAAAGTGGAAAAAAACACTACAGGCTGATCCAACTTTGATGTAATGTCCTTAAAACAAGTCAAAATGAGGCTCAGTAGTGTGTGTGTGGCCTCCATGTGCCTGTATGACCTCCCTACAACGCCTGGGCATGCTCCTGATGAGGTGGCGGATGGTCTCCTGAGGGATCTCCTCCCACACCTGGACTAAAGCATCCCCCAACTCCTGGACAGTCTGTGGTGCAACGTGGCATTGGTGGGTGGAGCGAGACAGTGTTTTTCTATTATTGTTATATGAATAATGTGCATATAGCATAATTTACTGATATCACTTTAAGAATAATCCTGATGAATAAATACATATGAAATTGTGCTGTAAAAAGGAGTTTAAAAGATAATTCTGTAAAGTTAGTCTCTTATAGCAAAAATAGAGAAGATAAAATATTGTTTATTATCTTCTATCCAGTAGGTTCACCATCCATCTTGCTTTTCTGTCAGCAATAAATATTCAGCAAATTATAGGTTGTATTTAGAAGATCTATTTGGTTGCCCCCTTCACATATCAAAATAATCAACATAGCCTGAGAATTACCTCTTTTGTCATTTCACTCATAAACATCTATTTCAGCAAATGTACTTTACAATTTACCTGGATTAGTATCAGTTTCTTGGGTAGCATCATCTGTATCCTATGAACAAAACATAAATACAGTGACTGTTCATAAAGTATATCTAAATTACACAGAGATGAACTCCAACAAATCAAAGTAATTTCTTCTTCAGCAATTTCCTTTTAAATACTGTATATTGTTGGACAAGCATATTATGGGGATAGTCTAATTTTATATGAACCTAAGTCCAGCTTGATATGAAATGGCAGAATCTGTGTCTGTCTGTGTCTGTGTCTGTCTGTCTGTCTCTCTCTCTCTCTCTCTCTTTGTGTGTGTGAGTGAGTGTGTGTCTGTGTGAGTGAGTGAGTGAGAAATTGACCTTTACAATTCAATATTTTTCATTAGATTAGGCTATTGAAGCCACCTGCCCAATGACCTTTTTGGTGGTAATGATACTATAAAAGGTAAAATACCTCTTTTCTTCATCATTGACAAGCTGTAGAACATAGATGAACAAATTGTTGCTGAACTTAGCACGAACTACTAAAAGTCATCCTATTTGATTAAACATTATTTTTCAAAATGTTTGTATTAAATGTATTAAAATATAATTTAACTATTCTCTCTTCTGCACTATATAAATCAATATAGTACTTTTACAAGATCTGCCTATTATTTTAGGTAGAATATTATACCTCCATTTGTGTAAAAATATGAATTCATAATATGAATAATCTGCCCTTAGTAGGAAATTATATCCTTTCAAGGAAATGCTTTTTAATATACTGTATATTAAAGCATTTCTTTGAAAAGTAAGTTTTTTTAAATAGTGCATGCTTTATGCAGATTATCAGCATATAAACAGGAGAACTACTATGCTATAGTGCTTAAAGTGATAAACTGGAAACAATGTTACCCAAATTCTAGTGTGGCATTGGCCATAGAATCTCAGTTGATAACTTTGGGCCCACTACTTGCTCTTAGTTTAATCTACCTCATAGGTTGTTACTATGGGGAAAAGTAGGAGCACTGTGTGCACCATCTTGAATTACTGAATGAAAGGAAAGATGTAAATCTAACAATAAATAAATCATCTCCCAAATGTAGACTTACTGGAATTTTTTTTTTTTACTCACCTGATCTTCTGGGGATTCAGCTGTAAAATGATAAAACGTTATTAGAATATAAGGATGTGTTTGCATGTCAAATATAGTTGCACATGAGAACTGCTAACCCAGTGGTAATAAACCCATTTCCTATTTTATATAATGTTTCCATTTTTTGAAGAGTTCTATTATTTCCCCTCAGTCATCTTGCCTGTAGATTAAACATACTCAGATACTTACCCTAACCCTAATCCTTGGGCTATTGCCAAGTCACATTTCCCCATCTTATTGGCATACTTTTTATTTTTCCCTCTCAAAAGCAAACTTTTATAAACCTCCTTGTTAAATTTTATCCTATTCATTTCCTCCCACTGTTCAACCAAGGCTAGATCTTTTTAATCTCCACTCTCTTCTAAAATATCTCCCAATTTTGTGTCATTATAACCATCATCATCTGATATTCTGTCTGTTTGTAAATATGCATTGTAGTGTGAGCCAGAATATCATAAATTAAAAAATCAAGTAAAAATTATTAATTAAAGTATCTTCTCAAAATAAATTATTCATTGAAATTAGGGCCTGAAATACAATCATTTTGTGGCATCCTTGGAATTACCAGAAAATTAACGTGTGATGCTTACCTTTTCTTGCTGGTATGTCAGTTGGAGGAAAAATATCTATGACACCACCTTTTAAGACTTCCTGCACTTCCTTCTGTCTAACTGTCCCGTTAGATATTTGTTCACCAGGTCCAGGTCCCCTTTGCTCCTGTGAGCTGAATGAGGGCAGCTCATCAACTTCTGCTTTCCTCAAGGACATCCGAATGTCTGAGTTAGCGTAAGTGTAGCCATGTCCTGCTGGGCAGATTTCCTTAAAAGTTTCTGCAGCCAAAAAGCCAAGAAAAGTAGTCAAGTAAAATTATTTGATTTAAATAATACAAAAAATAGTGAAGCTACAAAAAAGATATGAAATGGCTGGGATTTACAATCTCAAATAAACTAATTCAAAAGTAGTGGATTTCCCCCCCAGTTATACATGTAAGATGTGTGAGGACACATATCTTTTCTGTTAAAGGTGTCTATTTAAATAATTTCTATAATCAAAACATTGCAGGAGAACGTGTTTATGTTATATATACTTGGAACCAGAATTATAAAATGAAATCAGCAGAAAGAATGTAATGTTTGCAGGTTGGATACAACCTCCTGTTAACTGATACAAGAAACTAGGCCTAGTTTTTCAGTGAGAGCAGTCAAGAAAACATAATGACACAGAAATTCTCATTCTGTTATTTTCTATGCTGCCCAGAACATATAGAAAGCCACCCAGAGTCAATATATTTATGAAATGGGTGACTTAAAAATTTAATAATAAACAAGCAAACAAATAAAATTGCATGAAGGTGAAGAGAGCCACAGGAAAGAGAAAACTCTTTCTCTAATGTAGTGTTTTATGACAGCTTTACCTACCAATCTTTTCCGGCCTATTGGCTGCCAGATTAGTGGCAGGTACATCTCCCCTTATTCCTCATAATGGAGTTCGCTGCCCATATATACAAAAGGGCATCAATCTATACACTGAGAAGTAATATATCTCCATTTTCTCTACTTTGTCATGTTTGAATAGATTTTTGGAGCCTTGAACTCCTTTTATGTAATACTGCATATCTTCACTGACTTGAGGCAAGTTTCACTAGATGGCAAAAAGCCAAACCTCTGTATATACAATGCTTCTGAAACCCTGTTTTGGCAGAGAATATGATGGGAACCAAAACAGTTAGCGCAATCACAGGATTTAACATAACTGGACAAAACTAGAAATAATATTTATTTTATTTTTATTTATTTTATTTTATTTGGTTCAAACAAGAAAGCCAAAGTCTTACCAGAGCCCAACAATGGGCAAATCTCACAGTTTCTCCCCCATCCTTGGCCAACACGACTACAGCAGCAGATCTGTTTGGTGATCCGCTGATTAAGTGGCAGTGTACATATTCCTCTTATCACAGAGCGATAGCATGACCCTTGTTCTGTTGAAACTGCCTTGTCCGCTGAAACAAAATTATGGATACCAATTTTTGAAAATTCAAATAAAAGCACAGAATCTTTGTAATTCAAGGAGATCTCTGAAGTTAATTTTCCCATGCTCGGTTGGGTTCTTGTTCAGATAAAAAGCCATTTTTCATATGCACATGTACCACTTTGGAAACAGTAGTATTTACTTCTGAATAAGGAAATTCAGAAAGTCAATGAAGGTTCATAAATTTTATTTTCCTGTCTTAATGTTCCTACTCAATTATTTCACCAAAATAGAAAGGAAATGCAAAGAAACAAAGGATAATTTAACACTGCCATTCATTCTGAACAAAAAATAATTTAAAATGTTACATTCATCATGCTGTAAACTGAATGGTTGAATAGAAGATAAATATATTTAAGTTGCCAGTCCAGACACCTCCTGCTTTAGGATGCTGGCAAACAACTGACTTTATAGTTACAGTATTAACAATTATAAGTGAAATAATATAACAGTTTAAGCCTATAAATTTGCAACAAGACTGAATGACTTCAGATTTTAGTTAATAAATCAGTAAGATCTTTCATTGTAAATGAACTAACACTGCAACGTTTTCAGTGTGTTAAATAATGTAATTTTCAGCTTAAATTCAGCTCATTTAAATTACTAAACTACTGAATATTATCTTAAACAGACTGAAAAATGCTCTGTATTTTCATATGTAATTTACTTTAATAAAGTTTTAATGGGTGGCCCTTTTTAGATGCTCAGTACAATTTTATAATGCTTCATGTTTCTTATTTCCTATTATCCATATATTGTTGCATTTTTATTAGTACCTACAAAAGATAAGTCTGTAAAGATTTTTATAACTACTGTATATTATAAATTTATAAATTGCTTCTCAGATAATCAGAGTTGGAAGGGACCTTATAAGTCATCTTGTCCAACCCCTGGCCCAAGCAGGAGACCCTACACCATTTCTGACAAATGGCAGTCCAATCTCTTCTTGAAAGTCTCAAGTGATGGCACTCCCACAACTTCCAAGGGCAAGCTGTTCCATTGGTGGATTGTTCTCACTGTCAGAAAGTTTCTCCTTATTTCCAGGTTAAATCTCTCCTTGTTCACTTTCCATCCATTATTCCTTGTCTGGCCTACAGGTGCTTTAGAAAATAGCTTGACTCCTTCCTCTCTGTGGCAGCCCCTCAAATATTGGAAGACTGCTATCATGTCTCCCCTGGTCCTTCTCTTTACTAGACTAGCCAAGCCCAGTTCCTGTAACCATTCTTCATATGCCTCACTCTCCAGTCCCCTAATCATCCTGGTTTCTCTTCTCTACGCTTCTCCTTCGTTACATCAATCATATTTAGACTGGCATAGAGGGCTTATATCTGGTGGGTCCCACAAGCAGACCTTCTCTGCCATGAAACCCTTTTATGCAAAATTCTCTCTCAGACTCAAAGCTAGATTAACTATATTTATACATTCACTCTCCCATGCCCATAGTTTGTATATATTGCTTTTTAAATATATTTTGATTTTAGTAATTATTTTTAATAATTATTGGATTTTAATTGTTTTTGTTTTATTGTTGTATGCCACTCAGAATGACATCTGCTGATCAACAATTTAACCAACTAGCTAGATGTGTGTGTGAGAAAGGGGAGGGAGGGAGGAAGAGAGAGAGAGAGAGAGAGAGAGAGAGAGAGAGAGAGAGAGAGAGAGAGAGAGAGAGAGAGAGAGAGAGAGAGAGAGAGAGATCAGATACTGATAAATTAGGACTGACAGAAAACAGAATCATTTTCAGAATGATATAACCCTTCCTCACAACAGGCTACTGGAAAGTCTCTATTAATATTGGCATTTCTGCTTAAAGAACAAGGAAAGATATTTGCAGTCTCATTCAGTGAGAATAATTACTACATCATATAATCATTTAGGATTAATTCCATTTGCTATTATTCAATTTAAATTTATTGTGATTTACTGAATTAAAACAGTTATCTACAGAAAAACCATTAAACACTTACAAATACAGTGACTGCGTGATGGGTCCAACATAGTACCAGGCTTACAAGTACAGATGAAGCTGCCTCGGGTGTTCATGCATTCTGCATTTTTACATATGCCTTGAATTGTACATTCATTAATATCTACAAGTAATAAGAACAAATGAAGTTAACCAGGATTCAGTAGTTGTAAAACCATGGAATTAAAGAATTATTTACTTGTAAGGACCTAAGGATCACCTTGTCCAACTCTACAATGTGAAGGAAAAACATTGATGAAATATTTCAAACCTTTTCTTAAAATCTCCAAAATTTGAGAACCTATAATCTCCATAGGTATACTTTCCATGGTTGTACAGATCTCATCATCAGAATGTTTTTTGTTTATATCTAAATAAAATCTAGATAACTAACTGTGTTGGCAAGAAAGAACGAACAATATAGAATATGCAAATATGTTTTTATTGGACAATACAACTTATTCAACTAGAAGATGCAAGACGGATAGAATTCTAGACAGTGCTATTTTGAATACTTGGTTGTATAAATTGACTTTTTGTACAATTAAAGTAACTGGAAATTGGCAAACAAATTTTAATGATAATGGTGATGATAATATCCCCCAACTCCAAAGGAACAATATCTCATTACAGTGCAGGAGCCTGCATGCTCTAGGATACTAGGGGCTATGCTGAACAGGTGCAACTATGTCAGACAGGTCTTAGCTGAAGAACTAGGGTACATTTGTTTGGAAAACACCTCATTCAATATGATGAGAATACATAATTGAAATTTCATGCCAGAGTTTCTGTCACCTGGATTAACAAATTTCATATTAGATGGTCTGGCTCCTGGGAATTTACTGAAAAATATATGACAGGACTCAGCTTCCTATGCTAGGCAACCAGGGTTACTGGAAGGCAATCAAAAGCAAAGAATTTGGTCAAAGGAGAAAATACTTAATGTTTCTACCAACTGAAACCATCAAAATGAATATAAAAGCAAATATTCCAGCTTTGGAAAGAAAGACATCTAGATTCAAAAATTAGGAAGCAAAAACTTATGGATCAAAGACATGTAATTTTAAAACACAAGTTCTTTATCAATGCTGAATTGGAGGCAATCGAAAAGCAAGCAACCCAAAATTTAGTTTATTTAGAGCTGCCAAGAACTCCCTTTTTAGGGCCCTGTAATCCCTTAATTCAGGATAGTGTGGGGCAACTGGATGGAGCTGAGTGTTTACTGGCTTAATGTACTTCCTGATGCCACACAGAGTTCACAGCACATTTTTTTTTTCTTTGTGCCCTTAGGAGAGAAAAATCTATCACTACCGAGAATCTCAACCTTCCGAGTGGGAGGTGAGCATTTTCACCACCACACCACTCTATTCAAAACTACAAATAATAATACTAACTTGCAGAGTGAGACAAACAGTAGATAGTGAAGAGACTATTGACTATTATCATTATTGATATTAACGAAAAACAATGAGAAGAAATTGAAGATGTTAAAGAACTATAAGCACTATGGATTTAATCAATCAATTAGAATAGAGCTGAAAGGGACCTTGGAGGTCCTTTAGTCCAACCCCCTGTTATACCATTTCAGGTAAATGGTTTTATGGTCTTTTCTTAAAAACCTCCAATGATGAAGCACCTACAACTAATTAATCAAGAACTAACTGGGAATATTAAAGACAGAATGAAAGAAGCTGAAATAATATTTTACAAAATTGTATCAAATTAACAAGATAACTTTGGCTAAAACAGTGAATAATGTTAATTAAGATGTTAAAATTACTTCAACTGAAACATTGGCCCAAACAAATCAGCTGATGCACGCCCTAGTCTATGTAACCGTTGAAGAACTGCAGTTTAAAATATAAAGTAATGAAGTTATTGAGAAAGGAAAACCAAAATAGAAAATATGGTTTAAATTAAATCTAAAGAAAATTTGCATAGTTGAGCAATTTGAAGAATTTGATGCAAGAAAACTTGAAAAATAAGAAAAACAAAATTAATCTGTGCATGAAGTACAACCTGGAGAATAATGGAATTGCAGAAGCTTTAGGACAATTGAAACCAAGAGCCATGGTTATTGCAGAAAAGACCAAATGATATGACAAGTGAAAATTCAGTTCCAACAGAATTTGCAGTTTAAATAAAATCAGTATCAGTTATATAAAACCTTTGAAAATAGGATGGAGCGTAAATAATGAAAAGCCAAATGACAAAGAAGAGTTCCTAAATTTTAGAAACATTTGTGGGAAAACAATAGGAGCCACAATAAGAATGCAATAGATAAGCAAGTTGAAAATGCAGTGAAACTACTTGATATAGAAGACATTTGGATAACTGAGGAAATAGTATGAAACCAATCAGAGAAGGTCAAAAATTGGAGTGTTCCTGGAGCAGATAAACAATGGATTCTGGCTAAAACCATTAACAAATTACACTTGAGATTGGAAGACCAGAAGGATAGGGTTTTGGAAGCAGCAGAAAAATGAAAAATGGACAACATGAATAAACAACTGGAAAGATACTTCTAATTTAGAAGAAGGAAAATCAGCCTGGAAACTACAGACCCGTAACCTGTTTGCCAACAACATACAAGCTGCTTATGAGCATAATTGCACATCAAATCTACAGCTGCTTGAAAAGAAATGTTTTACTCCCTTTAGAACAAAAAAGATACTTTGGGAGGGAATAAAAGGAACAAAAGAATTTAAAAATTCCAAAAAATAACACATTTGTTTATGGCATGGATAAGCCTTTAAAAGGTATTTAGTTCTGTTTCATATAACTGGAGGGAAAATTTCTCAAAACATTCAGCAATTTATGAATATTTCAATAATGATTTGGCAAACAAAGCTGATGTTTAATGGATAAAAATTAGGAGAAGTCAAACTCAAGTGTTCAATTTTCCAAGGTGACTCGTTATCAACTTTACAGGTAGTCTTCAAACTACCACAACAATTGGGACTGGAACTTTCACTGCCAAATAATGTGGTCATTAAGTGAGTCCACCCAATTTTACAACTTTTATTGCAATGCATAATGGTTGCATAATGCAACTAAGTATGTGTGGTTATTAATGTTAAAGGAAATTTATTGTGGTAAATGTTCCTATAACTGCTGAGAAATATTTCAATATTTTTTTTAATTTTAGATAATACTGAATTCTGCAATATTATATCTCTTATTTCAGAACTGATTTCTCAATTATATTTGGCCTAATCTATGAGTCTTTATCCTGTCATTATAACATTTGACTTATACAAGGTATACAATTCAATCTTCTGTTCTCCTAAGACTGCTTTCTCTCAAAATTTTGTTTTACTCAATCTTCTGATACAATGATTCTTTTGGGTATTAGAGGCTTCTGTTCACAACTAATGAAATATAAGTATTGCAATATTATACTTCTATTGGAGAGAAATATTTCAAAAACTATCAGTGTGGATGATGGGTACAGGAAGAGAACTGTCTATCTAGGAATGTGCTTGGGTTAACTGTATCTTCTTTTACCACACAGCGGTTTCCTTGCTGAACTCCTCAGTTCGTTTGTCCCCACACATATGCTGATGCTTTCCTTGATAATATATGATGTATTTTGTATAATTCTCTGTGCATTTGTACATAAGTTCAATGTGTCCATAAACATTTTGTACAGTTGTATATGTTCATATATGTGCAGTCACACTTATCCTTGTATGCTCGTGTACATACATTTTGTTGTGTTTTCCATTGACATATTCATAGATGCCTTGCATATTTGCATACATATATTTATATTTTACTGTTGTTTTGCACTTCTGGTTGGATGCTAACTGCATTTCGTTGCCTGTATCCATGGCCATGACAATAAAGTTGAATGAGGTGATCTAATCTAATCTAATCTTCCTTGTGTTAAAGAGTGAGATACTACTGGATGGCAAAGAAAATAGAAGTAAATAAAACTTTTTTACTCCATTGGTCTGGGCTAACACAAAGCTAATTAGCTAGGGTAAATGGATTTATGGGCAAGAAGTCAGAGAATTTTAAAAGCTATTTCTAATATAAAAATGCTGCCATGTAAAATAAACCTGCAGAATTAATTTTTGAAGGACATTGTTCTAAAGATTTGTAAAACAAGCAAACAAACGTGACAATTACAGTTACATCATGTTCTAAAATTGTGACTTAATGTGCTCGTATTAGCAAAAGACACAGAGAAAAATATTAACCTCTGATTCAGTGATATATCTTCATTTTTTTTGACAATAGTGAAGTCCTTTAAAGGCCAACTCTAGCCATCCCAATTTAATCTTTCTCTTTCCCATCCTATTGGATGATCCTCTGGTATCTCTTTCTCTCAGCCAAATGGTTCTTAATCAGCCCAATGATGCTTTTTCAAAAGGCAACTCATTCCCCACCTTCCAATCAGAGCTGAAGAAGTTTCTTCGATGAGAAGAAAAACATATTCAAAGAAAAACAAGAAAGTTCAGTTGCATCTTGAAAAAGCACCCTTGGGACAATTATGACCTGGATGACTGTGAATCTCCATAGACAATGGCTCTTAATATTTATACATGGTCTTCAAATTGAGATTCTCAATCCAGTCCTGCCAGTCATGGACAGAACATTATTTATAAATTGCCAGAAAGTTATGTGAATACAAACATAGAGAAAATAGTTCATAAAACACCATCTTCAGAACATGTAGAACTGGGGATACAAAGTGGGATTTTGAATGTTTAAAGAAATTACAAGCTTATGTGCATATCCCTATCCACACAAATTTCATATTATCTATGAGCCTTGTAGATCTTTGATGATGTTCGTTTTCTTCTCTGTCAAAAACATATTTCAGTCTATCTGAATCTAATTTAGTCTTCTATACACCTGCTAATAACTCCTGAGCTCAATTTAACATATATAGGGTTCCCAATCTATTTTGGAATCTTCCCAACTCAACCCATCCTGGCCATTTCACAGCCAATCTACTTTTGGATATATTGCTGAGTCTACTAATAAGCCAAGGATGGCTGTCTGTTAATTGTTAGAAGATCGTTGGCCAAATGCTCTCCAGAAACCACCTTTCAACATGGGTAAATCCTGGCGGACCCCCCTAACAAAGTCTGCTTCTGCCATTAAAATTCCTCCAACAGTAATCTTCCAGAGCATTGTAAGACATTCAAAAGATAGCTGTGACAAAATTACCTAACTTGGGGAGGACATGTGCCATTTCTAGGCTAATAATCCAAGATAAAGCACTTCCATTTTGGTCATTGTTCCCTTCCCATGTAATAGACATTTCCTTCTGAAAGCAAGTGCAGTGCAAGAACACGTGTCACTGATATGGTCAATATAGAAAGACATACTAGCTGAGAAATCTGGGAGCTGTATTCCCAATACATTTGGAGAACATCAATTTGGAGAAGACTAACAGCAGGCACCATCATAATCTGATAACTGTACCAGAGGTGGTATTCAGCAGGTTCTGACCAGTTCTGGAGAAATTTTGAGTAGCTTGAAGAACCGGCAAATACCACCTCTGACTGGAGATTTTACAGTATCCTTCTCCTGCCATGCCCACCAAGCCATGTCCACAGAACCGGTAGAAATTTTTTTTGAATACCACCACTGTACTGTACCAAAGCTGTATTATTTCTCTATTCTGAAATAAACCAATCCACTTGTCAAATTGGCGCAACACCATGGTTACAAAGAGCAATTACACAAATGCTTAAAAAAGATGTTGTGTAATGTGTGCATTTCTTTGTTGAACAAAATGAGAACCGAAATATATAGATTTATGCTGGAGGAATCCTGGTCCAATAGTTGCTTCAGATTTATTTTAGTTCAGAATACTTTCTAGGTTAAAAGTTATTTGCCTTGTCAACAGTAACATAAGCTATCACCTCAGTACATTTTTAATTGGATCAATAATAATAATTTGTTATTGATAAAACTAGGAATGAAAACAGTTTTTGCTTCTCAAATTGAGAATTAAGTTATAATCTTTTCTCAGACCTAATGAGTCTGGGGAAAAGGTTGCCTTTACTTTAAGAGTCACATTAATTTTAATGAGCTAATTCCATAAAGCAGATGTTTCTTTTTTCAGGGTCACAGAAAGCCTGAAAGAAGCCAGATGCTATGCTCTCACTTCAGTGAGGTCCAAAGTATTCCAAACTATTTTTGAAACCTGTACAACTCCATTGTTTAGCCTGTGTAAGTATAGTTGCTGAATTAACATGCACCAGGCTACACTGTGACTGGCATATTTCAAGATTATGTTTTCAAAGTACTTGCTTTATATACTTACAGTAGTAAAGCAAAAAGATGTTTGAACAAATTTCTTGATAAGCATCTCTGAATCTTAAAATGGCCATCTGTGCATAGATTAGGCCACAACATCCTACACATTAAATGTAAGTACAGCAAAGTATGGTTTCCTCTACATTAGCATTTTAGTATTGTGAAGTTTGCCTCACTCATGTTGTAAAAAATACACTCACAAAAGATATAAAATCCCATCCATTTTACTATTTGTATTTATCAAAAAATAATCTGTCCATGCAGGTTCTTTTGCCTATAGAAAGTATAATCATTTGCATTCATACCATCTTCTAACATATGAAGATGTCTGCATTTTCATTTTAATTTAATTAACTATAAATTGAATTTCCTTTTTAAAAAGTAAATTAGTCTGCTTTCATTATTTAAAACATACACCCTTCTGACACAGGCTGCTTTAATGTAAATTTTCCCAGTGTAAGCACCTTTTAAAAAAATAACTTCCAAGCCGGCAATCATTTTTCAGTAATGCATCTGTTCAGACGTATTCTTAATGGATTTTTGTTCAGTTAGATAGAATTTATTTCATGCTAACAAGTGCAGTGTTGTCAAATCCAGTGTACTTCCAATAAAATTCATGTGGAATTCGTTACACCCTCATCCCCAGCCTGTTATCTGGGTAAGGCCTGCATCTGAATTAAAATACAATGGATACTGCACTGAATTTATTAACTTATGGAAAAATATTGGCAAATAGTGGTGTTAAAATGGATCTGACCACTTAATGGTAATGGTAACTCAGGCTTTCATCATTACTTAGATAAACTATTGCAATACATTCTATGTTGGACTATTCAGAAAAGGCACTTGGTGCAAAATGCACCTGTCTACATACTGGCAGGTGAGAGCCACTTCAGCCATCTGATATATATATTGTGGGTGTCCAATAGATTTCCAGGTATAATTCAAAATGTTTTTGACATTTAAAGTCCTATATAGCTTGGCTTCTAGATACTGTACTTGCAGGACTGCCTTCTCCGGGTGCAACAATCTTGGCTGGTGTTCTTTTCATGACTTGGGCTATTGAATTTAGATCCATAAACACTTGGAGGTGGTGTTTCTTCACAATGTCTCCTATCTTATGGAATAATTTTGCCCCAGAGGCTAGACATTGTAGAGAGGCTAGACCTGTGCCAACTTTGAAATCTGGTTAAATAGTCAGTTTCCAATCTTCTTAGTAATCTCCTTTTACTTTTACACATAGATATACATATGCAAAAAAAAAAAAATGTTGTAGCCATGTTTGCCTTAGGTTATAAAAAACAATGTTCTTTACAACATTTACAAGAAATATTATACTTAGAATACACCTGGTTGTTACATTATTAATTACAACTTATCAAACTGTAGAAATTTCACAGTTAAAATGTTGGAAGAATTTCATGCCTGAAGGCAGCGACTATTAACTTCAAAGCAGGAAGGTTCAAAGTTGTCAAATATCAATTGTAAGACATTGTTTAACTACAGGAGATATTTCTATTCTGTAACTAAGGAAACTACAGTGGAGGTGATTAAATAAGTACAATAACAATAATCTGGCACAAATTCTTCATTGTTACCTGAGCAGGTCACATCACTTGACCAGTCTTGCCAAGGAGGAAAAGTTAAGTGGCACCAGGATAGGTTAGTATTTATATGGGAGGAACTCCAAGGCTATATACTAGGGAAGAAGGAGAAGATCAGGAAGAAGGCAATGGACATACACTACTAAAACACAGCCAGGAAAAAAACTTTGTGGTTAAGTCACTGTAATTAGTCACCATTGAGGATATTTTTACCTAAATGAAAGGAGATTAGAAAGAAATGGCTGCCTACCTTGACAATGACTCTGATTCAGTTTCTTGTATCCTTGTGGGCATTCAACATGTCCATTTTCTATTGTTGGATAAGCTAAATGAAGAAAAGGGAAATTGCATCATGGATGGATAATTCAGATCCCCACTTTCACTTTTTTCTTTTCTAATGGGATACACTATTGCACTGTGATGTTGTGCTGTACTGCAGTTTAACATTATTTTGACATCTCACCTTTCCTATGAGAACTCAGAGCACATATATGAAAACTTCTTCTCATTTTATATATTCTCTCCAGTTACAATCCTGCGAGGTATATTGGTATTAAAAAAATGATTGATCAAAAATAATCCAGATAGTTCTGCAATCAAGTTGCTTTCACTAATATAATTTTAACAATGTTTACCACTAAACCATGTTAGTTTTCTCCTAGACATATATAAACATGAATCCTTCTATTCCAGAGAACTTATGTATCATTCACTTTATCATTCACAAGTAATTAGGTACTTCAATCTGCAAAGTAGAGTGGTCTGAAAAATTTTGTTTTCTCCACAATCTGCCAATCCAGACAGTCTGGGGATTGTTGATTTTAATAATTTAAAAGAATAATTTAAAAATTATTCTTCTATAATGGAAAATAGTACTAAGCACTCCAGAAAAAAGGTATAATAAAGGTACATTGAATGCAAGTTATTCAGAACACATTGTATTTGAGTTCTTGGTGGATTTGGTGGATTTTTTCAGAACAAATACACTGGTTTTATTTGTTGGTTTCTGAGATATTGTAACTCGGGCAGCAATTCCATTGCATGGATATCACATTATCAACTTTTTATATTCTAATGTCCCTGAAAGTCTATGGAGATTCTCAGTTATCCAGGTCATATTTGTCCCAAAGGTGCTTTTTTTTCCAACAGGCAACTGGACTTTCTTGTTTTTCTGTAAAAATGTTTCACTTCTCATCCAAGAAGCTTCTTCAGCTTTGACTGGATGGTGAGGAATGGAAGGATCACACAGATAAACCTCCAGGTGGCCTTAATGCCCTAAAAGAATGCAAATGACCAGCTGTCTGCAAGGAATATAAATCCTTCCATTCCGCACCATCCAGTCAGAACTGAAGAAGCTTCTTGGATCAGAAATGAAAGATCTTCAAAGAAAAACAAGAAAGTTAAGTTGCCTCTTGGGGAGGAAAAAGCAACTTTAGGAAAATGTCCCTGGAAAAATCATTATTTCTCCCTTTCTCCCACCTACTTCATCTATTATTATTGTAAATATTCTATATCATCAGATGGCACTATTACATGATACTTGCAATATCATTTATTATAAGCATTGTCATCATCCTATTATTACAACCAAACATAGGAACAGTCATATATTAGAAATGGACTATGTTTGGGAAAGTAAAGAAAAATACTTTCACTGAAATATGCAGAGGGAGGTAGAGAACACTCAGGCTTGGAACAGTCTGCTATTATAGCCAATCTCAATAAAAATAATTTTAGCCTTCCTGGTCTAGTCCACCTAACAAGGCTGACATTATGATTGTTTGGCACATTCCACTACATGTTTACCTTGAACACCCACCAGAAAATGAGATTTGACTATAATGATTTACAAAGTAAATATTTGCCAGTGCCTTCAAGATTATCTTTCCAAAGTGACCAGATTTATTTTGTCAGGATGAACTTCAAACATAATTTGGAGCAGCTCTCTCTATATAGTAGCACCAACAACCAAAATGCCTGAAGCAAAAGTATTGGTATTGTACAACTTTATACAGGCTTAAAAAAAGAAACGGAGCAAATGGACCAAAAGTGCCACTCATTTTATATTTTAACTTATTCATTGCCCTTGAACACACGTTGTGCACTTCTAATCTAGAGCAATATCCAAATTTTACCATTACTGTGGAATTATTTCCTTCCATAAATGTATCATCAATTACTCAAAGCTGGTTCAGACAGAGTAAATCACTAAAACCTTGTCAGAGTGAATCCCTGGATGTTAAAATTCTACTTAATGGCACATAATCAATCATCTGTTGGAGTGATTCTCAGAACTGGGAAAGAGAACTAAGTCACTTAAAGAAAATAAGTCAGATGCTCTGACAGACATAGCTAGTGACCAGACTCATAAATGCAGCCAAAAGAGTTAGCATTTTTTATTCTGTTTATAATTTTCTCCAGAAAGACTAAGTGTGGTTTAGACTAACAGGCAGCTGAAAAATCCCTCCTTGGAAGAAAGTGGAGTATCAGAATTGCCTAAAGATTTGACTAAATGGTGTAATCCAGGGGTGTCGAACTCAAGGCCCATCAAACTCAAGGTGCTTAGATCTGGCCCGTGGGGCCGACCTGGAAACAGTGAAGGCCCATGGTGCCTCTGCCAGTGAAAATGGAGCATGCAGTCCTCCTGAGCTCTGTTTTCGCTGGCAGAGGGTTGTAGGAGGCTGTTGCAGCTAAAAACGGAGCTTGAGAGCTTGTTTTTGCTGGCAGAGCGCTCGGGCCGCCACAGGCACCCCCGACACAAGTGACGTTGAGCTGGCCACACCCACCCCAGCCCCCCAAGGTCAAACACAATCCTGATGCAGCCCTCAATAAAAATTGAGTTTGACACCCCATGTCTTGATCAACTGTCAGAATGCAATACTTTATGCTTTGTTTTAAGTTCTAATGATCTGCAGGTGACCAAAAACCATGATGTCTCCTAACTTTCTGGATAACATTCTGTTTCCCCCAGATCAATTCAGCATCTTGTTATTCTGCAAAAAACAGCAGTTTTTTTTCAGATAAAAGATCTGTCAAACTATTGGGAGATCAGATGCATATATGCCCCTAGAATAAAGATATCTGTTCTGAAACATAAACAGGAGACATGTTTTATCACAATGGCCAGTCAAACTGTTAAAATATTAACAAAAAATTAAAAATATTTTCTAAATGTGTAGGAAGAATATTATTCACTGGAAAGTCAAAGTATATCATATTGGGTTTCAAGCTTCCATAAAAATTTTTAGACAACTGCACTCATCACCTATCTAGAATCTGAAGTTAATGAATTTGTTTTCCCCCCCTTGTAATGGATCCCTCTTTCATCTACTGACATTTACAGTGATTACAACAACCCTCACCTTAGATTGTTCTGAGTCATTCTTTTTTTACTGTACTTCCCCCAAACTGTCATGTCAATTATTTCAAATAACTAATGACCCCTGCATCTCCGGTAACATTTTGATGCTTTTCTCTCTCTCTTTTCCTTTGTCTGAGCAATTCCAATGGAGGTTCTAAGTCTATACCAGGCCCCTGTTTGGCTGTATGTGAATCCACTCTAAAAGCAAAAGACCATAAACATCTTCATTTTAAATTGTGAAACATTAAATAATATAATATTATGTTAACCCCAGCAGTATTCTTTGCAAAGTTGTTGATCCTCTTGAGTTTCTCATTCATTGAAATAAAGCAATGGATCTCTCTAGTCTGTAAACAGCACAAAATAAAATAATTGTATCACAGATACTTAGATCCAAGGCTAAGCCACTTAAATAAACTTAACAGAAAAAAAAATCTTTCCATTCCTGATGTCATCCTCAGAATCTTAACAAACTCTCGTGAGTATATGGCAGATCCAAAGTTCCCTGGAGACCTCTTGATTAAAAATAGAGAATCTGGGGACATTCATTGGACATACAGCAGTCTCAAAGATTCCTCCCATGTTGTACAGGAGCATCTGGATACAATTGTTAGGGACACTGGTGGACATAGAATGAAGGAAGGAGTCGGAAACCTTATTTTGGTAAACTTTCTGCAGTTAAATTTTCTTAGGGCAGACTTCTTAGAGAATTCGTCTGCAGATTATCAGGAAATACTTTAACTCTACCTGTATGCAAACTCTGAAGTGAGTATGAAGATTTTATTTCTGCTAACTTTCAAAGAATCTAAGATGTTGCTTGAATGTCAGCCATTCCTCCGGATCTTTCAGGGTGTCAAGTTCTCAATTATAAGGACTGGTTTGCAAACATATTTGTTACTAGCCACACTCTTTGATGTGTAAGATATTAGGCTATATGTCTGATACAATGCTCCAAGTACCTTATATGATATAATTAAATGCAGCTGTGTATAAAAGAATATGGCTTGAGGGGTAACAGAAGCCTGAACATATTTATTAATATGAATAATGAATACCTACAAACACCATGCAGATTTACAAAGCTGCATGTTGAAATAGCTATATGCTTGAGATCAATTCATCAGATGGGGTCCAACATGATTTCTTGGGGGTATGTTTGTCACCACTTGCCCCACCAGTTCCACCACTTCCACTACAGCAAATCCCCTTTTAACAATTTAGTTTGCTGTACACAAAGCATATGAGGCTAATGCTTTTTTCTTTTTTCCTGGAAGGAATCCTCATTTGAATGGCTTTCAGTCAGTCAGTTAAACATTTTATCAAAATAGTGCTATGCTTGTGAATTAAAGTGCTTTAAATGTTTCAAAAAGCACTGCTTTAAATTCACAACTGATGTAAAACTGTTTAAATACCTAGTAACTTTATGAAAGATGGTTGTGTGAACATTTGGAGAAATAAAAGTTGGGGTGGATTCTTTTAGACCCATCAGTATAATTCTATTACAGCATACTGTATAAGTTTCTTGTTACATAATATCAAGAGCACACTTCAAAAAAAAAAATCTAGTGTTTGGAATAAGTTCAGTTGTTTCATTCAAACAATTACACAATTGAGAATCTACTTAAGCAATTAGAATTGCTTGGTTACTCTTTTTTACAATGAAGAACAATTAGTGCAATATTTCCAACTGCTCTTCACTAGAAAAGTCTCATAAAGAAAGTCAATACAATAACTGCACATTAATACAGAGACTTTGCTAACTTTTTAGAGTAGTAAAATGTCTTTCAAATCTTTAGGGATTTTTCAAAAAAAAATATAAGTAACCCACTCTTAAATCATTCTGGAATTCTACTTGGTGAAAAAGTTCCTATACATACATTTTTAATGAAATGCTCTACATAAATTCCATTTCAATGAAACCAGTTCTTTTTCCCATTTAAATGGGAACATATTTTCAACATGCTCAGCTTGAATACACAGTCTCTGGGGTACCACTATGACATTCATTGGAAGCATTTCTTTCAGAGGTTTCAATAACTATTTTCATGCCTTTATTAGAGTTATTTTATTATTATTTTTCATAGATGGGCAAGTATTTGGGGTTTCATAATATTTTCCATTCAACCACAATGTTTGGCATGACCACTATAAGAGTGTTCAGCATTCCTCAATGATTCTGACCTTGTCTGGGCAATCTGCCAGCTATTTGCCAACTTAGATTAACTCAGAGGGAGGTTCATTCACAGAATGCATTGAATACCCTGTCCAAAACTATCCATTCCAATACACAGCATTTTTTTTCTGTTTGAAAAAAATGGAACACTTGAAAAAGCTGGAATTATTTATCATTGTCTGAAAATCTTCAAAAAGTCTAATAAAATTGACTAGAGTAATAGGAAGGCAAATAAGAACTTTATGGCACGAATGAGTGCTGAAATCATAGGTAGACAACCCAGCACCCCCCAAAAAAACCCACTGAATTTTTGAAGTGAAATAATATGACTCAGTCAGATGTGTGGTTTTTTTTTAGCCCTTGGGTAATTTTAAGATAGGAATGAGAAAAGTTTGCTTCCAGAAAATATTGTGTTCCCACTCATATCTTCTTTCCTGTCCAAAGCCAAAAGATATGGGGGGCGGGGGCGGGAATCAGCCTTACTCCTTCTAGCCACAGCATAGCACCACCAGATGGATTCCTGTGCTCTCAAAAAGGTTGTACCCCCCAAAAGAGTTGCACCCTCCAAATCCTCAAATGTTGCCTATCCTACTTTCAATGGATTCTATGACTGGAGGAATGTTGTGGCAGTGCTAGCCAGTTGGCATTCTAAAACGTACAGCCATTAATAATAGTAAGTTTGACAGGTATTTGTCATCCGCGATGCTGTTGAAATCCTGTTCTGATGCCTGGAGCTATGAAGGACTGAATGGGAGAGAACAGGCTTAAATTGAATCCCAGTAAGATGGAGTTAAAATTGGTCCATTGAGGTTCTCTGCCTATTCCAGAGATGTCTCTTAAGTGAGTTTCATAAACCCTGAAGGAACTGGTTCATGACCTGAGGGTTCTCCTGAATTCATAGTTCCTGCTACTAGAACAGGTGAAGGCCTGGCCAGTGGAATCTTTCTCCAGCTTGGTTGGTGTGCCACTAGCTAGAATAGAAAGAACTTGCTTGGTTTTTGCACTTGTTAGATTACTGCCACACACTCTACATGAGACAGCCTTTGAAGATCACTCAGAAGCTACATTTGGTTCAATGTGCAATGGTTCATATGCTGACTGGTGTTTGTTGGTGCACCAATATTCTGGTCCCTGCATTGGTTGGCAACAGATTTCTTGGGGCAAATTAAAGTGCTGTTATTTGCCTATAAAGCCTTACATGGCTTGGCATCTAGTTTTCTACAGGATTGCATTCTCTCATTGGAATTCACTCAAATCAGTTTGATCTACTCAAGATAAATTATAGGGAGTGCTCCACTTTGGGGAGATGTCAGGAAGCCAAGCACTATAGTTATAGTTGGTGCCATAAAACTCATTATGCCTGATATCTGTCTGTCTGTCTTTCTATGTATCCCTATCCCTAACTCTATCACAGCCAATTGACAAGGGCATTTAATTTAACTTAGACATAACCTTCTTGTTTGCCTGTAATATATTCTCAGCAATTGTAGAAGCAGTACAGTTCCTCAAAATGAGCATCATTACGAAACATCCTTAGCTATTGTGACTCTTGGCACATAAAGTACAATAATAAAATACAAAGTGTGTGGCCTGATCTCAGAGACATAGCTTATGTCTGTTTTAAATGGGCATCTTCTGTGCTAGGGTCTCATTTATTGTCTTCAAAAGGCGTGCTCAGAATTCACCCATTCATAACCATGGTCATTCCACTTTCTATGGTGTGGATCAAAGAAAAGATCGGATACTCATGTCAACCACCTATTATGATCCTTCCCCCAAAGTCTAACAAAATAAATGTTTTATTTTTTTGCATATATAACATTCCTAATCAGTCTTTCCATTTATTTTTTAATTAATTTCATTTATTTAATTAAAATTCTATGCTGCCCATCTCACCAAGGAGACATTTACCAGTTGGCCTAAGTAATAATCCAACTGGAAGGCCATGCATTTTTGAGAATAACTAAACTATCCCCTGCAATTCTTTTTCATCAGGAAAAGAAAACACAGAACCAGATTTCTATGTCTTTGGAATGGGATCTAGACTCAGTCACGCCAATTGTTTGAAGTATTGCTATTTCCAAAATCTGTGCCAAGAGTTCATCTAAAGCAGGCCTATAATGCATAAAGGCTGAGTATGAGCCTCATAAGCTAATCTGCAGCCACATCTCTAAAATGATGGTCACGTTTTTGCGGTTTCCTCTTGACTTATGCCTTTGACTCAAATCGTGATTAGCTGTGGGTTTTATGGAGATGGTATGGAAGGATTCTTGAAAGCTCTGAGCCAGGAACCAAGTCACCTAAATTAACACTGTAGCCAAGCAGGCATCAGAAAAACTAATACATTGCATACTATTTGTCTGGACTTAGAGAAAAAACATCATATTCAAATAGGAATCAGTGTCCTTAAAACATCCAGATCTGCCAAATTCCTATAGCAGATGGGTTTACATTAGGCATCACATGATCATATTACAAAAGATCTAATAGAGACTAGCGATAGCCTTACCCAACAAAATGCCCTCCAGGTGTGCTAGATCAAACTCAAGGCCCAGGGGCCGGATACGGCCTATGGGGTGCTTAGATCTGGCCTGTGAGACTGACCTGGAAACAGAAAAGGACCAGCTCCTGAGCTCCATTTTCACTGGCAGAGAGTTGCAGGAGGCCGTTGCAGTGGAAAATGGAGCTCAGGAGCCCGTTTTCACTGGCAGAGCACTTGGGCCACCATAGGTGCCCCAGACATGAGTTATATCGAGCTGGTCACACCCACCCTGGCCATGCCCCCCGCCCAGGTCAAACACAACCCTGATGCGGCCCTCAATGAAATTGAGTTTGACACCCATGTGCTATTGTTGGCTGACAATTGTGGGAATTTTATTCCATCATATCTGGAGGAAATCTGGGCTAGAAATATTCTCTTTAGACAGCATTACCTGGTTTCACTGGGCATGGAATGCATCTGCTGAGACCCCAAAAGGCCCCCACACTTCCACAGCAATCCTCATACCTTGCCAGACCAGACAACGGATCAGCACACTGAAGATTAAAAAAGTGACATTAGAATCTCATCACTCCCAAATTCAAGGAACCAAGAAAATCTGGGGGGAAAAAAACATGGTGGAGGTAGAGGAAAGACTCACAAAAGCATGATTTTCTGTGGAAAGCAGAGAGCATGGTAGAGATGTTGAATTAGCAGGAACCCTTGTTAAAAGATATACTCCTTAAGATAAGTAGGGTAGTGAAAGAACATTGTGTTATTAAGTGTGATGTTCCATTAAAACATAAAAAGGTCATAATGTAGTTGCCTGAATGCAGTGCATGGACTTAGCTCAGCTACAGTTTGAATGTTAACAGACATTTGCCATATTTGGGACAGAAGTTAGATTTATTAAGAAAAACATGAAGATAGAAAAACTTACTTTAAATTTACAATAAATTTAATAAATAAAGTTAAATAACTTTAAGTAATAAAGTTAATTTAAATAATTTAAATCACATTTTGAAGAGAAGAAAGAAAGAAAAAGAGATGGACAGGAAATTCTATTTGTATGTTAAACATAGTCTCATTTAATTAACAATAGGCCAGGTAAGAGACAGTCACAGGCACCTTTCCCTTTGCCATTTGCTCATAGTTACAAAGAGATGATATAAACTCCAACACTAGCTAAAAAAGAAACTCTCAGAGCCAACAATATCTTTTAAAAGAGTAAATAATCTCTCACGCATGAAAATGAAAACTCATCTTTCTCTTTGTTCCTTGAAAAGTCAAGGAATTAATATTAGGTATGAGCTGTTGATCAATGGACCATTAATCATCATGTTTAAAATGATATAATCAGGCTAAGCCTTTGGATAAAATAAAATAAACGTCTATTCCCAGACTGAAATATATTACCAAGTGGGGACATATGTGTCAAGGATTTTTCATTGATTTATTCCTGTCCCAAAAGCCCTCTGGATTGTAGTTTTCCTCCTTAGAACTGAGCAGCTGCAATCAACAAGCCAACACTAGCAGTAATCCATCCCACCCCAAATGGCCATGGGCCCACGGATCACATTTCAATAAATTTGGCATCAGATTGAATCTGAAGACAAAAATGCTTTCTGCTCTGATTATTTTTTTGCTCCAATTAAATAACTGTATAACAGAATAACTAAATCTTTTCTCATATAATTGTTCTGCTGTTTTTTTAAAAGGGAGGGAGGGAGGGAGAAAGAGAGATTATTGTTTCAATTACATGGACGTAGTTTCCCAAGAAGCTACAAGGGAAATTAGCATAATGTTATTTGTTTCCCAAGTAAGAAATTTTTTCCAAGCATTTTATCTATGATTTACTGACAACAGAATAGCTTTAAAAAGGGCAACCTTTAGACCTAGATTTCTTGAATGTATATTGGGTCAGACAGAGAACAATAAAGACTTGAAGAAAATGTTTGAATTCAAGATGATTGCACTTTAGGTCTGCCTGAATCATCTTTATTTTATTTATTAATGAAAAGTGCTGCTTGAGCAACTGCAAACTGCTTCAAGGATTTCACACTACTGAATCTACCAAATTAGTTTCCTACTCTGCATTCAAAATCTTCAGGGGAAACAGAATGCACCTGTCGAATACTTAGACATTTCAATGTCATGCACTGTGACATTATCAAACAAGAATGTAAGAAGCTGCAATGCGAATGCTCCTTAAAAAGGCACATTACAGTCCTTTTGTGGTTTCTCCAATTCAAGCCACCACTTTGTGCTATAGTAAGGTGCAAATGAAAGCAATTGCAGCATACCACCTTGGTTTTAAGTTGCTGCTGCACTGCAAAAAAAAAATGTTTTAATTTATCTAATTTATCTAATTAGACATTTTAAAAAATGAATCAATAGATAGATCCCTTCCAGACCTACAATCCAATAATTCGATGCAAGACTTTTTTCTACACCAGTGTTGACACTCTGGGTTTGCTTTTTTTGCAGTGATTCCTGTCTTCTCAGATGGGGAAAAGAAATCATTTCCAGCCTGGGACACGCTAGGCAAAAACAGTCCTTGATTCATTTCTTCAGCTGGGAAACACACAACTAATATTTTATTCTCTTCTTTAATTGCTTCTATCACATGAAGCTATTCTGTTTTTCTTTATTCCCAATTACCCAACATTCTCTATTTATCTAAATTGAGACATAGCTGCCCTTGTGGCTTTGTCCTATAATGGTCTTCTCCCACAGTATAAAGACCATCATGTTGCCATGATGTGATGAATTAATCTTTATGGCACAATGATGAGTATTATTTTAGGGGCTTCTTATAGGTGGTAGGAGGCTACAATGACTCTGAAGAAAAGAGCAAAGTAGAATTTTTAAATCTACTTTTGTCATTTGGATTAGAGAAGTAGAGTAAAAATGGGCCAAATAGCTTCTATTCCCATTCACCCAGGGGTGGAATTCTACCGGTTCGGACTGGTTCAGGAGAACCCCTTGTTCCGATGTTCAGCTCGCTCCAAACCGGTTCACTGCAACAAGGAAGTGGGCCCGCCTGCCCACCTCTGCTCTTTCCTGTGCTTTATGCCTTTGTTTAGAGCACAGCTGATTCACGCGGCAGAGCGGTTTGCCATGCCTCAGCTATTTTCTTCACAGAGGCTGCAGTTGAATATAAGTGTGGACTTGCCTTTTTTAAATGTGGAGCGTTGGTATATGGAATTCCTCCCCTGCATTCACCTCAAATGAAAAGCAGCCCCAAATCAAGACCCTGACTTCCCCCCCTCAATAATTTCCTGCTCCCTTAATGCCTCCCTACCAAAAGAAGCTGAAACCAGCTCTTCCCCTCCCATCCTAATAGAAATCCTTTTTTTTTTTTTTTACAAAAAGCACTGCCAATAATTATATATTTTGCCAATGGATTTCAGCAGTGAGGTCTCTTCATCCTGTGGGAAGAGTATAAATGGGTGGCTAAGGTGCTGTGTGACATTCTTAAGCTATGGTTCCAATTTTGTGGAGGATAAGGGGAAAATGTCTATACTGAGGCCAGGAGACCATAAGACAAAGTTCCCAATGGGAAAAAAGCTCCCTCAAAGTTCTTCAGCAGTGGAACTCTCCAACACTGAAAATGATACATCATATTTTCAGTAATTCCATTCTGATAACTTGACCACAAATAAATCAGTCCATCTACCAAGACTAAGACATGAGATTGCATAGGTTAAAGCTACATCTTGAGCACCATGGAAGAACTTTATGTTCACATAAAACCCAGAAAGACAGAGTTGTTCCCAACCTTTCCATGTACTGTCTCCAGGTAACATTTTCCCAAGAAGCCCTGGGACCTCTGTTGCTGGTTGCTTTCAACATTGTTGTTTGGGGTGGCATTATTATTGTAATGGGAGGCCATTGGAAGCTGGGGTGTTTGTACACTTTCCACACTGTTCTCTTCTGATTGCTCTGAGTCACTCTTCACTCTCGCCACCTGATGGATCTGCACGGTGGCTTCTGGGGGATGGTTAATATGCACATTCACCAGGGAAGGGTACATTGAAGCTGAAAGAAAATGTTGAAAATTATCATTAGAAACTTGACTTTTCTTTCTAGGAAAAGCCATCATGAAAATTTCTTAAAAGGTAACTAAAATGGCTGGTATCAATCAAAGAACAATTTTAGCATCCATTCTAACCTCAGAAAACCATAGCGTTTTTCAAATCAAACAGTATGTGCCTCCCCCTGAAAAAACAGCAATAATCACATAAGGCTTACAATATATAAGCAAGTGAAATAACATCTGGTTTATAATAAAGCCCTAAGGAAACAGCAACAAATGGTGACTGTCACAACTGATAAATAACTATCAGGGCAACGTATTGTGGTGATTACATACAGATCAACAATTTTGAGTGTTGCAACACATCTGGAAAGTGACATTCTGGGGGAGACTGTTATAAATTACAGTCCATATAACTGGAGCTGGGTTAGATGGATGTTCTGATTTGCAATGCAGATGACTTATTATACAGTTATGGGGTCTCCAAATTATGCTGTCATTCTGTGTGAAGATAATCAATCTAACTCCTCTGAATGTGACATGTCACTTAATTCCATGAGACACTGGTGTTCAACATCAGCAATGAGGTTTGCTTTTCCTCCCTGATTCTCCCCTTGCATCTTATCCTTACAGATGAACACATGCTGTATTTAATTTAGCTTGAAGCTCCTCCAGAATGCTCAGAACAAACCATTTCAAATCTGAAACAACTGTTTTGAATTTGAAATGTCTTGTACAATCCTACTTTTTATACGCCAGACTTCTGGAATTCAGGTATTAGAGAAAAACACTGCACACAGTCATGAAAGAAAAACATTGCACACAGCCATATGTACTTTCTAAAACGATCTCTGTTTCAGAATTTCAGCTGCGATTTTAAACAATGATTTTGTTTATGCGGGTGAGAAAACCATATTTTATGTGCGTATATTCATAAACACTGCCAAACAAGAGGATGGAGTGCACAGGTAAGAAAAGAGTACAGGTGCAGATAAACAATGTCCTTAACAACCTAATATTTATTTAGTTATTTATGATTTCTACATTTAAACAACTCTGGACAGTTTATGTTTATATTGTGGGTGATATAAAACACAATAAAACATAGAAAAAAAATGAACACTATATTGCTGTTCCCAAAACACTGAGAACAAGAAAGCAGTGCCAGTTTGAAATAAAGAAAAGAATTTACATTTTGACACGGCTTATTGAAATAGATGAGTTCCAAGATAGATTTTTTTTCTAGTTGGTTTAAAAACTCTTAAGTGGTAGGGGGGAGAGAGAGAGAGAGAGAGGAGATGGAGAGGGAGGGAGAGGGGGAAGTTGACTTTTTCCCATTTTCTGGGTTGGGCAAGTTTTTTTGTATCAGCAAAAGTTTACAATTGGGAAGTTTGTTAATAATGTCCGTGCATGACACCGTATATATTTATAAATTGCATACATTCTATTTCAAGTATGACCAGTAAACTAGTAGTCAAAAAAGCAGAGGGATACAATCAAGATCAAGTGAGGTACTAATACCACTCTGTAAAGCCTTAGTAAGACCACACTTAGAGTACTGCATCCAGTTTTGGTTACCACATTATAAAAAAGATGTTGAGGCTCTAGAAAAAGTACAGAGAAGAGCAACCAGGATGATTAGGGGACTGGAGACTAAAACATATGAACTGGGCATGGCTAGTCTAGTAAAGAGAAAGATCAGGGGAGACATGATAGCAATCTTCCAATATTTGAGGGGCTGCCACAGAGAGGAAGGGCTCAAGCTATTTTCTAAAGCACCTGTAGGCCAGACAAGGAATAATGGATGGAAAGTGAACAAGGAGAGATTTAACCTGGAAATAAGGAGAAACATTCTGACAGTGAGAACAATCCACCAATGGAACAGCTTTCCCTCGGAAGTTGGGAGCACCATCACTTGAGACTTTCATGAAGAGATTGGATTCCCATCTGTCAGAAATGGTGTAGAGTCTCCTGCTTGGGGTGGTGGTGGTGGTGTTGGACTAGATGACCTATAAGGTCCCTTCCAACTCTGATTATCTGTTGTCTGTTATAAATGTCTGCACAGCAGCAAAAGCAGAACTTAGACCTCTTATATCAAGAATCTTAGACAGGTGACTACTATGTCTAACCTAAGAAGTGAGAAGTCATGCAATTAATGCTTACCAAGTTGATTGGACAGAGGAAGGGTATACATAGAATGCTTCACAGAGCTGCTTGCCAGGCTATTTGGAATTTGTTTCCTTTCTGCTTTTAAAGCTGGTAGATGGCAAAACTTTCCTGTAGAGTTCGATGGGCACCAACATTCATCCCTGCCCACGCAACGCCCTCCATTTAAACATGGAATCTGGCAGAAATCTGTAAAGAAAATAAATTGAATGCATTGAGAAAAATGTATGAATGTTTGCTTCAAATGCAGATGAGTCAGGAGCAATGTTATTGGGAAAGAATAGACATAGCCAATGTGTGCACCTCAGTAACTCCCACCTGGAAAGGATACGAGAGGAATTGAATTGACAACTTGGCCTTACATCTAATGAGTATGAAAAATCTTCTCCCCTATGTTAACACACTGAATTATATCATATCTGCTGTAGAGAAAGTTATAAATATGGAAGAAAATAATTGAAAAATAATTGAATATAAAATATAACCAATGTTAGTTTTATTGTACAATTTATACTGTTACTGAAATCAGGAGATAAATGATAGAAACTGTAAGCTGCCCAGAGTGGTCTCTAGGCGAGATGAAAGGCAAATAAATAAATAAATAAATAAATAAATAAATAAATAAATAAATGAATAAATGAATGAATGAATGAATAAAATCAGTTACAGAAAGCAAGCATTGGGCTCCTTTTATTCTAAGTAAAATTCTGCTATTTGGTGGCACGGTGGTTAGAATGCAGTACTGCAGGCTACTTCTGCTGACAATTTGGCAGTTCAATTTGGCAGTTCAAATCTCACCAGACTCAAGGTTGACTCAGCCTTCCATCCTTCTGAGGTGGACCCAGTAAAATGAGGACCCAGATTGTTTGGGAGCAACATGCTGACTCTGCAAACCACTTAGAGAGGGCTGTAAAGCACTGTAAAGTCTCTACTGCATCATGGATAGGATACCTATGGTACGCTGGCTGAGGGAATTCTGGGAGTTGGAGTCACACCTCTTAAAGCTATGAGGTTGTGAATATCGGAATAGTGATATTCTTATAAAAAGAATAGGACAACGACAATAAATGATAACTTAGACTGGCCTATTATCTCTAAGAGGGTAGAACAGGCTTCACAGAAAGTTGTTTCTTTTCTGCTTCTGTAGATAATAAGAGGGAAAATAAGGGGTCACATATTTAGGAAGACTCACAAATACGGAAACCAGATTTGGGGTCGTGGTCATGTCCGCTCTGGCTATATAGGGTGGTAGTGTCTCCTTTCTCACAATTATTGTAGCAGTGACCATTGTGACATGTTTGTTTACAGATTGTTGGAGTGAACACTATTTTTATCTTCCTGATTTTTTCAGTCAGGTCTGCTCCTGAAAGAGAAAGAAAAGACATCACAGAATAAAATGTTACGTCTAAGCAACTTGTTTGGGGGACCGGCATGCAGTCTATTAACTCTTCTGATTATACTGTATGTTATAATCCTCTCAGATTCAAGCAAATTAAATATTACTTTATTATGTGGCCTGAAGCTTAAGCAATGTTTATTATTCTTCAAAAATAAACCTAGAGAATTACATAAAACCTTAGCACAGCAGACAAGAATGGCTTTAATTCTTTATTTCCTGCTATAATGACAAGACAACCCAAGTGGGAAAACTGGCCACTTCAATGGGAGAGGTTGCTTCCTATTTAAATTGCATAATCCCATTTATTTCAAATTAGGATTATAGAAGGGGCAATATTTTTCTACATAGTACTTTTTAAATGAAGTCTCATATTAATAAACTTTAAAAGGGTGATTTTTATAGGAATCATATAGAAAAAAAGTCTATATCAGACAACAGGATTTGTGGTTTACATGAACGAACAGAACATGATTGAAAGATTTAATCTGATAAGAGTTCAAAAAGGTCCAGATAAAATACCTTAAACAAAAGTACACTTGACAATGTACATGTTTAAAAGCTAATATATTATTTTCCCCTTTATTTTTTTGTCTCCCCTCTCCCTTTTTATGGGCAATGAGAGGAGACCAAGAACTCCATCCTCAGAATACGTTTTGTTATAATAATAATCTATGATTGCAATGCCACTTTCCACATATTTCAACAAACATGACTACTGTAGGTAGTCATCCTTTACTCCTCCAACCAAGAAAAGAGGAAGTCAAAATGAGAACAATCAACTAAGATTAAGGGAGAGCAATGCTTCAGAAAACAAGAGAAATTCTGTTCATTGTTCAATTCAAGTTCAGACTGAGAAAGAAGAGGCTGATATAGTACAAGAGAGACAATACACAGACCAGGAGTAGAATGTAAAATCTAGTCCACTCAATAGCAAGGAGAAAGGGGAAAAAATCCAAAATGTTTGATGGTATATTGGTGGACAGGGGTGATGGATTAAGGGTGAATATGTTCCTGTGGAAAAATCAGTTCTTTTATAACAATTTGGAATTGATGAAAAACAATGTTCCATCTGAACATTTACAAAATACGTTCTTGTTTCTCCTCAATACTCATCACATTAACTTCACATATTTAGGAATGAAGAGAAAGAAAAAGTGGAATGACTCCAGATCTGAAGAACTTAAGCTCCAAGATGCTCTCTGGGTTTGTCTGCCAGAACAGATTTCATTTTCCACAGGAACACTCTGTTCTCCCCCAATTTTTTAGAAATTTCCAGAGTAAATTAGAGGGTCTTCATCCAGAGGGTGAAGAAGGCAAATTAGATGGATATGAAAGATTTGTTTACATGAAAGACAAACCTGCCTGTGTGATATTAGAAGCTACCCTCTATAAATTAATAATGAATTGCTCTGTAGTCTGCACTTTCATCTGAATAAAAATGAAAATAAAAAAATATATGCTTTATTTTTCAGACAGCATAATTCAGCTAAGAGAAACAGGAAAGTAATGAAGGGTAACAAAATATAGGCAGCATTATTGTCTCAGTCTCACATATCTTTGAAAAATCACTAATGATGTAAAGTCTTATTCATTATAGACTTGCAGGGATTGCTTAAGCTTAAGATTTAAAATCAGGCTTGTCAGATGCTACATCTTTTTTATTTGGCTCTATGGAGTGGAGAGCTGGTCTCTGACAGAAAGTCACTTTAAGAGACTAGAAGCATTTGAAATGTGGATTTACAGGTGGCTGTTATGTATAAGTCGGGTTGACAAAATCAGAAATGAGGAGGTGATAAGCCACTTGGGAAAGCCAAGGGAATTCATCAAAACCATAAAAAAGCAAAAATTTAGAATATTTTGGACATGTGATATGACACACAGAAAAATATGGCATACGTCACTTAATCCCCCAAGCAAAGATTGAAGGCAAATGAAGTCCAGGCAGAAGAAGAACATCATGGCTTCAAAATCTGGTTTGGACAAAACTCAACAACACTTTTTTGTGCAGCTGTTGATAAAAACCAGCATGATCACCAGCATGATCACCAACGTCCGACAATAGATATGGCAGAAGGAGAAAGAAAAGGAGAAGGAGAAGGAGAAGAAGAGAGTGCTGGCTATGAAATCCCAAAATGTCTACACCCAGTGTAATAAAGGTCCACTTCTCCTAAATCCTCCATCTAGGGCCTTTTCTCTGTAAAAACAAAACTAAACAAAAAGAACATGTTATTACTCAGATCTTACCCCAAGGAGACAAAACAGGTTCCTGATATACCATTTGTGGCCCAGTACTGCTCTGTTCAAATCCATTCCCATTGGGAAGTATATTGGAAGTTAGATGATCATGATTTACAGCTGGATAGCGTCGGACTGTGCGCGATGTTCCAGTATATGACTGAGAAGTAACAAGGGAGCTGCTTCTGTTTTGAACCCTGTGAAGATGAAACCTAAGTTAATATTTGTGTTGAATGTTAATGTACCCATTGAATGTCTTCCTTGGTTGTGAGTTTAAAGCCTGCCTGTAGAGAGAAAGGTAAAAAACTGAGAAAGGTAAGCCAAGAGGCTCTTTTAACATGCTTTTGAGAATAACAACCGTTTGACTCTTCCCATAACTTAAATATTGCCCACACTTCCATCAAGTAACATCATTTCAAAATAAAATAAAAGTTTTTGGACAAGAACCTCTCCACATATCAGAGGTTAAATTGTTAAGAAACATTTTTCTCATTGATCATGGGCACCTTATGTACTAATAAAGAAAATAGTGCTTTCTGATTTGTGATCACCAGATGTGGAATATTCTCCACTTTCCTATAACTAGTGCCAACATTATCGACAATTCAGTGACAGCTTCAAGTTTTTTCCCCTTGGGCATTTAAACTCATTATATTTATCCACTTTACTGTATTTCTGTCCCTTTTTATTATTTTTATATTATAGTAGAGTTCTAGCTTTTTTATTGCATCAACGTATTATTTTAATTGTATTTGTAGATTATTCTGGTATTGCAAAGCGTGAATGAATGTAGTTCATCTATTAACTTATTGATCATACTCTTCTTTCTTTTTCTGTTATATTATTGCATATCTCTTGGATTATAGATTATTATTTAAATTCATAGACTATCTTTTCACTTCACCTTCTGAAAAAAGCAAATTTCTTCGCTAAATTAATTCTACTATCACTACATTCTTCCTTTATATAGTTGCCTTCAGAGATTTTAGTCCCCTGTGAATAGTAATTTTCCCTAACAGAATGGCAGATTACAAAAAATATACAAAAATTGCTAGATAGGGAGGGTCACTTTCTGTTGCTTTGTTTTAAGCAATGCATAACCAGAACAGATCTTAATTTGGCATATTACCATGCAACCATTTCAAAACTTTTAGCTACAAGCACTGATTATTCTGGGCTCAAAAAACAAAACAAATCACTTGAACAAAAAACAAATACTAATCACCAGCGGCAATCATGCGAGTCAAATTAAATGAATTGGCTATGAGTAGAAGAGGGTCACTACTATGTCTGTGCAAGGGGTAACATATTCACAAGGAAAGTTCCATTGTTCCTCAATTCTCTCATCTGTTTCCAAACATGAGTGATCCCTTCAAAGTTGGCTCATCCTATATGAATTTGGAGTGCATTCTCATTCCTGATTTTGGCACTGATCACTTTAGAAATATAGCCAAGAAATGGTCCCAGCCAAAGAAATAAAACAGAATATACAATCCATAAAAGTCATCAGTGAAAGGAGCCTTACAAAGAATGAATACCCATTGGCAAATTTGTCTTACATTATCTAAGGTGCTTGGCTTTTTGTGATAGGTGAGCCACAACATGAAGCATATCTTCTACATTCCCAAGGCCCAGTGCTTCAATGCCTATTAATGCATGCTGGCTGTCACAACAGATTCTTACAGAGCACAGTTTGTTTTGACTTAGCACATGCTAAGCCTCTTTCTTTCTTAAGTTTTTCATCTCTATTTGGTCCTGCTGGTTCTTCTTTCCTCTGCTGGAGAACAGTGCCAAGATTTCCAGATTGCTTTGTTTCTAAGCACCTCAACTATCCCTTTATTTTCAACATCTTAAATAAAATAGTGGTTAGTACTGGAATTTCCAAAGAAGCCAAAACTTAATAAGATTAAGCAGGTTTCATGCAAGACACACAAGCCCCACAGGGAGCAAGATACTTTACATAGTTCCTTATTTAATGGCACCTTTATATTCATTGAGCCAAAGTTCTTCTCCTCCAGGTATCAAGTCCAGTTCTGATCTACATCTTAAAAAAGAATTTCAAAAGTGGAACTAAGGTTTGAAGAACTACTTGTAATACTATTTGGACTCATCATTTATTGGCAAATTACACTAATCATTTTAATCTAATGGTTTGAAACAGAATTAGGTAAATCTTGCTAATATCTTAGGGACCATTCAAAAAGAATTCTCAAGACATTTACATTAATAAGCTATAATTTCTTGATCGTTCATTCAGTAATTAAGTAATAATTTGAATTCATTCCTTGACTTGATTTATCTGACAACATGACTCCGATGCAATGGAATAAGTTTAATAAATTGGAATGTGAAATAGCTATTTGCTCATCCACACAGCCTCTTCCTGCTTCCCTTTGAAGTGTGAGCAGCAAAACATCATATTTTAATTCATCATAGCATTCTATATAGTCCAAATTGGACATTTATACTTTAGAGCTTCAGAACAGGCCAGAATATTTAAAGTATGGTTTGCAGTTGATGTAATATTGTAATCCATTCTATAACTTGTAAGCATAGTTTCCAATTTCATTCAAACTGGGAAACTATGGGAAGTAGAGGTGTTCTGTTCCAATCAGAGAATTTATAGGAATTGAAGTTGATACTTCTGAGGGAAATGCTTACATTGGGGAAATCATACATTATGATATTCACACAGCAACCCAACAGGACAGACACAGACTTCAGAAAGTAATTAGGACTGCAGAAAAAACAATTACCACCAACCTGCCTTCAATCAAGGACCTGTATACTGCACGAATCAAAAAGAGGGCTGTGAAAATATTTACAGACCCCTCACATCCCGGACATAAACTGTTTCAACTACTATCCTCAAAACGATGCTATAGAGCACTGCACACCAGAATAACTAGACACAAGAACAGTTTTTTCCTGAAAGCCATCACTCTGCTAAACAAATAATTCCCTCAACCCTCTTCAACTATTACAAAGTCTGCACTACTATTACTGTTAAATCTTGTCATCACTCCTTATCACCCATCCCCTCCCACTTGTGACTGTATGACTGTAACTTTGTCGCTTGTATCCTTACGATTTATATTGACTGTTTCCTAGTCTGATTTGATTGTTTATTGTACCCTATAACCCTATATCATTAAGTGTCGTACCTTATGATTCTCAACTCCTGACATATGCATCTTTTCTTTTATGTATACTGAGAGTATTTACACCAAGACAAATTCCTTGTGTCCAATCACACTTGGCCAATAAAGTATTCTATTCTATTCTATTCAATGTGCTAAACTCCAACCTAGTTTCGCTTTGACATAATGTGCTACGTGAGTTCAGAAAATTATCATTGAAACAAGCCATGACATATATGAAACCTACTACTATCAATCGGTCCTTATCATATTGAGTTTTCTTTTAATTTTAACTCAAACTTTCTCTTTTTAACAGTTTCATCCACTGTTTTATGTTTTTCAACTTCTATATAACAGCTTCTAAGATAGCTAAAGACAATTATCATTTCTCACCTTCTATTCTCTAAGCTAAACATGTCCAACCTTTTCAAAAATTCCTCAAGGAATTGGTTTCCAGATACTTTAACACCCTGGGATGTCGCTTCTTAATATTTCTATTTTACCTACATCCCTCATATTGCCATCAGAGGAACTTATTTCCAATTTTCTCAATCAAGTCAAGAAGGAGGAGTCTCCCTGTAAAACATCAGTGCTTAAATATAAACTCTATCAACTGTAGTGAAACTTTATCTGGGATGTCAATAATTATTATATATTTTAAAATGTGTTGCTCATTTCTCATTAGAACCATACTCCCAAAATGCACTACAAAACTACCACAGCATAATTTACATTACAGACTATTAAAAGCATAAACTACCAACAAATCAATCTAGAAAGTCGTAACATTAAAATATTTTTAATGAGAACTGCAACTGGAAAAATAGCAATATAGATTCAGTTAAAACAAGTAAGACTTTAGCTGGTTTGATAATTTACAAGGTTTGTAAAAAAAAGAGTGGACATTCCAGCGTTATGCACCAGTACTGAGGATGTTTTCTCTCAGATTCCCACATAATTAATTATTTTGCTGGTGCTTGTCCCTCCTCCTACTGATGCTACCCTGTTTCTCCAACAATACGGCCTCCCCCAATAGGAAGTCCCAGCATGTTTTATAGGCATGAAATGAAATTAAGCCCCTCCCCCCAAATTAAGGCCTATATTAAAACATGCGAAATGGGGGGGAAATGGCGGGGGGGCTTGCTGTTAGGAAGTACTTTTGTTGCACACCCGGATATGGTGCTACCTGCGTTGACCCTGATACAAAGTGCCCCACCAACGCTGAGGTCAACATCCAAGCCGTCGCTGCCCGCCTGCCCGAAGAGGGGGGAATTAAGTCACCCCCGAAAAGACGGCCTAGCCATTTTTTCAGGGCTCAAAAAAAATAAGGCCTGGCCTTATTATATGAGAAACACGGTACTTACATTCTTACATTATTTCTCTTTTACAGGAAGTCCTAGCAAGAACTCAAGGACTTCCCATTCATTACTGGATATAATTTTTTGAGACCGTTTCCACAGGTTACATATATAAAGAAATAATTTTACTTAAACATCCACAAACATGAACTGTAGCCAATCTTTTCATAATAGTTTTTTGCAATTTTATTTATTTATTTATTTATTTATTTTATTTATTTGATTTGCCAATTGTTTACAAGATAATAAGTATAAGAGTATACATAGTTGTGAATACATGAAATGGGTACATATATGAAAAATAAAAGAATAGGAGAAACAACAGGACATGGACGGTAGGCACGTTGGTGCGCTTATGCACGCCCCCTACAGGCCTCTTAGGAAAGGGGTGAGGTCAATAGTAGACAGTCTAAGGTTAAAGTTTTTGGGGTTTGGGGAAGAAACTACAGAGTCAGGTAGAGTATTCCAGACATTGACCACTCTATTGCTGAAGTCGTATTTCCTGCAATCAAGTTTGGTGCGGTTTACTTTGAGTTTGTATCTATTGTGTGCTCTTGTGTTGTTATGGTTGAAGCTGAAGTATTCACTGACAGGTAGGACATTGCAATGTATGATTTTATATACCATGCTTAAGTCAGACCGAAGACGGCGTAATTCAAGGTTTTCTAGTTCTAGAATTTCAAGTCTGGTGGCATAAGGTATTCTACAACGAGTAGAGGAGTGGAGAACTCTTCTTGTGAAATATTTCTGGACTTTCTCAATTGTGCTAATATCAGATACGTAATGTGGATTCCAGACTGATGAACTGTATTCGAGTATTGGTCTAGCAAATGTTTTGTATGCTCTGGTTAGTAGTGTGATATTACCAGAGAAAAAGCTACGTAGGATTAGGTTAACAACTCTTAATGCCTTTTTGGCTATGTAGTTGCAGTGGGCTCTAGCACTTAGATCATTAGAGGTGAGTATTCCAAGGTCCTTTACAGAGCTTGGGTCATCAACAAGTTCTTGATTATTCAGCTTGTATTTTATTTTCTGATTTTTTTTTTGCCAATATGTAAGACAGAGCATTTATTTGTTGAGATTTGAAGTTGCCATTTGTTTGACCATTCTGATACATAGTCAAGATCTTTTTGTAGGGTAGCAGTATTGTCTGTGGTATTGAACAGCTTTACGTCATCAGCGAAGAGAACGCAATTGCTCTTAATATGATCACAGAAGTCGTTTATGTAGAGTATGAAGAGAGTTGGTCCCAGAACACTGCCTTGGGGGACACCACTATTGACAGGTACTGGATTTGATAGGACGCTCCCGATTTTGACCATTTGTTGTCTGTTTGACAGGAATGCTTCTATCCAGTTATTCAGTTGTCCAGAGATACCATAGGATTTTATTTTTAGGAGTAGTTTATCGTGTACCACTGAATCAAAGGCTTTACAGAAGTCTATGTAGATTGCGTCTATTGCTTTGCCCTGGTCGAGTTGTGTTGTCCATATGTTTTTGCAGTGTAAGAGTTGTAGATTACAGGATAGTTTTTTTCTGAAACCAAATTGTTTATTGGAGAGTAGGTTATTTGTCTCTAAGTGGAGGATGATGGATTGGTTAATAATTGATTCCATGACTTTACAGGTGACGCAGCATAAGGAGATTGGCATTGTTTCAATGTTTGTTTTAGGAAGTATACAACTCAATATGGAGAATACGTGAGCTCTAGATTTAAACTTCTTAGATCAGAGCTATGTGTAAAATCAGTCCTAAACAAGATTCAGCACTGAAGAAGAAAAATGTCTGTGTTTTTTGTTTCGCATTTCAATGAAACATTTATTCTATCAGGCACTCCAAAATAATTTTCCGATGGTTAATTTGGCTAAAAATTCACAAACAGTGGAGTATGCTAGCCAAAGTTATATTGAGAAACCATTGTCTTGTTCTCCAAAGTACAAATTGTTCTTGGATTATCTTCTTCCATTGTTTATTTTATACACTGAACATAAACACAATTTTCTCCTTTTAAAAAAATGTTTCCATAAACCTTTCTTACAGTTTGCTATAGCACCTCTTTTAAATATGCACAAATAAAATAATGGTATCCAATCTAGCGATATCATCTTTTCCTGGGATAACTAAGATACATCAACTGCATAATATTCTTACCCCACCACTCACTCCTCCATGGCTGCACCTTTGAGATTCATTTTTTTAAAGTGTGGGTGATAAAGTTAGGTGCCACAGTATTATGAAAAAGCCTAAAATTGTATGGCAGCGTACAGGCAGAGCTAAAGTGAAAAGTAAACTGGCAGGACTTCCTATATGAATTGAAATATATGTAAGAGGCAACTGACGTATCTGTTACTATCTGAGTCTGGAGACAAAAGATGGGTATCAGATTTGAGACCATTTCTGCCTCACTGATGGATTGTTTGGTCTTTCTCATGAAAGGTTACAAAAATATTTCTGCCTCACTGATGGATTGTTTGGTCTTTCTCATGAAAGGTTACAAAAATATTTTTTTATAAAATTTTATAATTCCATTCGGAAACATATTATCTATGGATCTGCAAATATCTTTCAAAGAAAGCACATAGTATGACAACCTCTTGACAATCAGCCATACTTTTTTGTTTAACCTTAAGTCTCTTGGCAATTTTTCTTTTAGTTTTTGTCTCATTCAACTGCTGTCCCTATTGGCCAGCTGCCCTTCTTACTCAATGCCACATAAACCCTAAGCCAGTGATTCACTTCGTTCTCTTATGTAATTTCCACTGAATCATTAGAGAAAAAAGGACACCATACAAAGCTTAAGTTACAAAAATGAACAGCCACTTCAGTCTCTGAAGTGGTCATTAAATGGTCTGGCAGAACATACAGAGATCACTCTTCAAGCTGGCGCAAGGAGTTTCTCAACACACACACACACACTGGAATTAATTGCACACATAGTCTACCAATCTATGGCAAAGTCTCTCAACCCTCCCCTACCTTCAAAGCCCCACTTGTCCCTTTGTATTTCAAATGGACACATCTGATTTTGCTTAGAGGGGCAATCCTTTTCCAGACTGTTAAGGATTTGGGACACAAATTTCCCTGTGTGTCTTTTATTCTAGACAGTGGTTGCCCACTAAAGGAAACTCTGATGTTTTTAACGAGGAACTCTTGGCCTTCCTCCTGGAATGGCCTCACATTCTGCTGAGGTTTGAACAGACTTCAAGAAGCTGGAACATCTACAAATTTCACAGAAAATCACATATCAATTCAAGTGGGCACAATTCTCCCCCACCTTTTAATGTTCAGATCATCTGTACCCCTAGTTATATGTGACCTTGTATGTAAGATACTTAATATTTTCTTCCTTGTGGTCTGTTTTCCTTTTCTATCTTGCAATTAGAGTATTCCACCCCTTTTTAACTAGCACTTTCTGTTGCTGAGATTGGATTCTGAAAGACATACTCTGACCTAACTTCACTAAATAAATTTGCATAGAGTAATAGCAAAACACATGTTTTGGATAAGTGTTCAAACAGATGGTCTTCAGGGATATCTTCTGATTTATCCTTTCCCATTTCTAGGAATGGAGAGAATTCTAATACAATGGCTCGTTATAAATTCTCTAGTCCCTAAGAAAAGTACTGAATCACTACTATGATTGTAAGATTATAGATAATTTAAGAAGTATCCACCTTCTTAGGGATATCGGTGATCTTATACCAAGCAGATATAAAAATCTATGCATCTTCTGGTCACATAGGCAGTCACATTGTCTGCCAAGTCTGTAACCACTGAACCAATTAGTCTCTTACATCTCTTGAATGAGAAAAAGACATGCAATGATTTTGAATATCTATGGAAATTCTCAATCATCCAGGTGATAGTTGTCCCAAAGGTTCTTTTTTAAGAGGCAACTGGATTTTTCTTTGAAGACATTTTGCTTCTCATCCAAGAAGCTTCTTCAGCTCTGACTGGATGGTGGGAAATGGAAGGATCCTTCCATCCCCAAAAGCACCTTTAGGACAACAATTTTGAATCTTGATTTCAATATAAATAGAACCCGGTTTTGCTACAAAGCAAACAACTGAAATTCTTTAATAACTATTGTACAATAAATCTACTTATATGAGGGTTTGTGGCCTTGGAATCTGATCTGATTTCATTTCATTTATATTAGCAATGTTATACGCTCAATATCTATCCTCATCTGCAGTTACCACACACTCTCAGTGTCTTAATGTCCAGCTAGGATCCATTTTCCTTCTGAGGGATGATAGATGCAAAATAGGAATTAAGAATTTTGTTTTTCTCATCATCCACCATTGTCACTTTATGGATTACCTTTCAATTTGCAAGCAACAGATATAAATGATGTTTTATATATAGACCATAAAAAGCTGTGCAAAATTGTTTGTAAACTTGTATACTTTGCAATTCCAACCAGAAATCGCAAAAGCATTTAACTATCCAACTTTTTAAATGTAATATTACGGTTTATTGTATTAAATATATCTTAACTGTTAAGGATGCTGCAGAGATAGTAAATGGGTGATTAAAAATGGTTAACTTTAGCATAAATAATATTGTTTTAATGAAGACTTAATAGTAATAATTCCTACAGAAAAAGATTTTTATATTATATTGAAAGTTTTCTAATCATATCTTGCTTCATGTGGTGTGTGGAGAAGGTTTTTAAGGATATTATTACAGTATGCAAAAATTAAGTTGTAATCTTTATTGTGTCATTTAGGATTAAAAGTTTATCTAGAATTGAATCTATATCCTATCACTGTGAGGAAGAAATGTGATTGCATGAAGCTATTCAAGCTATTCATCATGAGTAATGGCAAAAAAAATACCTGCATATGTAAAATGGGTAATCATGCCCTGTAATGAGTTTTTGCAAGGGAAAATCATAAAGTTGGGTCACATAATTGTAGGACATTTAAGCCATAAAATCCTAATCAAATAAGTGGGGCATTGAAATTAAAATGACTGAGCAAAGGTCAACCGTAGTTTTGAAGCATATATTGACCAATTAAATAAACAAGAACAGAAATAAGCAGAAACTCTGGTAGCAAAAATATAATATAACAAATCACCAGTTCCTAATAATATCCACCCAAGAGCTTAAAAGCAAAAATATAGAATTGCTGACCTTCAGGTATATGTAATTTATTCTTCAAATCAGACTCAGTGATAGAAGATTGGAAAATAGCTAACATGACACCAATTTTAAAAAGGAACCTATTGGGAAATTATAGGCAAGCTACCTTGATATTTTTTTGAGACATATCAGTGGGAACAAAGAAAAGAAATAAGAAATATATATATATAAAGTAAGAAATGTTGCTAAAGGAAAAATCAGCATGGATTTTGTACAGGTAAACCCTTCCTGACAAATCTTTTTTTGAGAAAACACACTTACCCAGCTGGTAGCTTCTGTATGATAGATAGTCGTGGCTCTCTTTTTTCTGCACCGTTTATTCTCTTTGGAAGGGAACCTGCCGGAGGCTGAAAAGCAGTTGCAAGGCCAGGAGGATGATATTCTTCTTCTGGAATCACCTCTTCACACCTGGATCCTCTGAAGCCTGAGCGGCAAATACAAAGCTGGGGACGGCTACAGGATCCTTTGTTTTGGCATGGAGGGTCACATACAGCTAAGGAAATAAGGAGAAGAATGAATAGAAATAGATATCCCCATCATAATGTCTATATCACCCATAAGTTGCACTTATTTATCTACTTTCATGGGGCAAAACAATGCAGACAACCTACAAAAAAACTTAATATTTTTTCAAAATGATCTGACTGCACAAATATTGCAAATAATATTGCATTTGTAAGTAATGTGAATACAATCCCTTTAAATTAATCCCACTTTAAGAAAAAAATGATTTCTTTTGTATTGAGATATCTGTGTTTACGTATTTTACAGAAATAATTTTCTTCATTGTCTATGTAGTGTATTCAAATAGAGACTTCTAAGACTACATTCCTATTGGTTAGTTAATGCAACATAACGATTGGTTAATGATGACAGTTTCGGATTGGCCGCCTAAGCGGCGGGAAGTTTAAATAAATGCCATTGGTTGCGAGCCGCTAGCAGCCGCTATAAAAAGGGCTGCCGTGGCTCGAATTTAGTTGAAGTTACTGGTTACTAATAAAGAGCTGAATTCAACTCCGGTCTTCGAGTCTCTTTTGTCTGGCGACAGAACAGTTTACAATAAATCTTGATTACAGTTCCATTCAAAGAAGGCCACTTGTCCCAGATCTAACAATCCAATATAAAATTTAATTTCAAATCTCAAAACCTTTTATGACAGAGATTCCAAAAGTCGTTTCAAGAATTTGCATACTCATTTCCTACTGGAGTAGGTAATATTTAAACTTTAAGATTTAAGCTTCCTTTGCCTTTCTTTCACTTGACATCTAAGTGAACGAAGAAGAATGTTGGGATATAGCCAATGGAATCAAGTTAGACATCTAAATGATTAGCTACTTGTTTAACAAAAGATTAAAAAGGCAAAGAGTTCCTTGGTCTTTAGGCTCTGTTAAAATTTACCATCTGTTTAGAAAAGATTTATTTCAGGATTTTAAAAGCACTCTTTTAATTAACTCAGGCAAACAACAGCCTACATTTAAAATATCATTAAAGCCGGGTGAATAGTTAGAAGCTCACATCTGAAATAGCATTTGTACTATTCCCAGAAATATTTCTCTAATGAGAGAAAGAGGCTGCTGTTTCTGGCCTTGTCTGTTGTTTATAAGCACTGTTCTGCTTCTGGGACTGTGAGACAATCCTTCACCTTTTATTAAAGAACACTGAGTCAGTTTTCTGGAACAATCACATTAGCAAGATAAAAGATGGCTTTTGGTAAATAATGTACAATTTTGTTGTAATTGAACAGCTGAGAATGTCCTATTTCCCATTTTTCTTTTTGGCGCCATTAGTAGATCATAATTCATAACATAAAGTACTATTTCTAAAGCACGCTGGGAAGCAATGTCCAATAAATTGGAAACTTTGACTTCTAGTTCTGGAAGTGTAAACTCCTGAGTAATTTTTCAGAATTGGGGATGGAGAACAGATATATTCACAACAAATGTTGAAGTCTTCAAAATATCTTTGAAGATATTTTGGTATTAACCATTCTATGTGACCATTCTTTTATTAGGCAGTTCAATGGTTAAGACATCCAAGATGTTCAATGTTTCATCAAAATGGGAGATAGTCTCCTGAATGATATGTTGCCTGGGAGCTTTGAGAAGTGATATCAATGACACTGACTCACAAATTTAAAAAAAAATCCACGCAAAAGGTAATATGACTAGTATTATGACAGATCAATCATTGCTTAGTAGCAAAAAACAGTTCAGTAGCCACAATCTGCAACTGGTCTGCTTTCAATTAATAAATAGCAGCTAGTAGCCCAAAACAAATGAACTGGGCTGTTTTTTTTTTTCTTTTAAGAATAAGCAAGGAACATTACTAAGAGCATTATAGTAATGTCACTACTCAAGCCCCAGCTTACAATTATTGTGACACTGGCAAGTAAAGGAAGAACTCGTGCAGTATTATCATTACATGGTGAAATGTTTTAATATATACATTTATAGGCTGTCCAATTCTGTAACAACTTTAGACAGTGCAAAAAGGGCACAGACATTTGGTAAATATTTGGTAAAAAAAAAATTGGTAAACCATTCCTTCTAAAACCAATTGTGTTCCGAACTAAGCAAGCTCGTTGGCTTGCAACACTAATAGTTTTCTTCCACGACAGGTTTGTAAACCTGCACTTCTGATTGGCCCGCTGATAGCGGATCGGGATTGGTCGCTTTTGGCTGATCTGATTGGCTGACAGCGGGTCGCCATTGATTGGACGCTTCCAGCGCGGTAAACTCAAATCATTGGGTGTTGTGACAGCAGCCAGCTCTATAAAAGGAGCTGCTGCTGCCCAAGTCTTTTGCTCTGTTCTGAAGTCACAAATAAAGAGTTGGAGTCACTACTTCGATGCCTCGTCTCCGTTCTTGCGGCCACATGCCCAGACATAACAAATTGGACAACCCACGATGACCCAATGAGTCATTCATCTTTCCACATAAAATATAGGCTTGCCCCCCAGCCAGTCCTACTTCCCCAGTAGACATCCCAGCCCTTCCTTCGTCTTTCCACATATAAGCTTGCCCTCACAATCTTTGGGAGAGCCCTGCTGAATCCTTTTCCTCATCCTTGGCTGACAAGAGGAACTGCTTACACTTTTCTGGGGGAGGGAAAACAAAGAACCAAGGAAAACTACACCCACACTCCCCATCTTATGTTAAGCCCCCCCCCCCCCCACTTCCAGGGAAGAAGTGGTAGCCAGCCTACCTCACCAACAGGTCACTTGTCCTTCCATAAAAGACCATCACTGTTAAGAAATTTCAAATTTTGGCCTCAATTCCAAAGCAACCAATGGTTGCTTGCCCGTAAAGTCTTGCCACCAGCCGATTGGTGCAGAGCCAGAGGGAGGCAGGAAAGGCACAGATATACCCCTTGTATCAATCTACAAGTTTCTGGGAAGTGTAGCTGGAAGGCATTGTGGCACTGAAGCAGCCACATCTTTCCCAAATTTCATTCTGACAAGTGTCATGGGTCCCAATATTCTGTTAGTCCACCAATTTGAGTTTCTATGGTTCAATAATTATTGCCCTACCTTTTCCAATTTCTCCCAATTGAAGATTACAATCAGACACAAAAGTTTTAATAGTATATAGCCGTGATGGTGAACCTATGGCACACATGCCACAGGTGGCACGCAGAGCCATTTGTGTCGGCGCGTGAGCCGCAGGTAAATTTACCTCACTGCGCATGCGCGCACCTCACAGCTGATTTTTCGGCTGGTTTGGGGCCTTTTTCGTCCTCCCAGAGGCTTCGTCACCAGAAGTGATGAAACGGGCCTATTATTCGTCCTGCAAAGGTTTTTTTCAAGCCTTTGGGAGGACGAAAAAGGCCTCAAACCAGCCGAAAAATCAGTTGTGAGGCACAGTGTAGGTAAGGGGGATGGGGGGGGGCGCATTGCCTTCTGGGTGCTGGCACATGAGCATGCAAGCGCAAGTGCGTGCACAATTTTTGGCATAGGAGCCCAAAAAGGTTAGCCACCACTGGTATATAGATACAACCCACTGAAGCCATCCTAACTTTCCACAACTTGTCCCACTTTGCTGCAGACATGGCTGGAGAGAGAGAAGATAGAAGATTGTAGAAAATACGACTTCGGCAACAGAGTGGTCAACGCCTGGAATGCTCTACCCGACTCCGTTACCACCTCAAACCCTCACAGCTTCAACCTCAAACTGTCTACCATGGACCTCACCCAATTCCTAAGAGGTCCGTAAAGGGGCAT